ATTTACGGAATCAGGCGAATGTCAGAAACATTATTTATTAATTATAGCAAAGCATATATCGACATTCTCGTGTTCGGATGATTTACGCTGCCTTTTCCGAATAAATGAAAAAAAGACAAAGATTAAGAAAACAAAGAGCGTATCGCGTTAAACTCTAGAATGTTCATACATTCATACATGCTAGCGTGAACGCTGTATAAGCATATGTATTTACACGCAAATCTATGTACACTCGACACAAAGATAAAATTACGTATGTGTTCGGCAACGATCGTATCTGATTATTAGGCTCGTTCGTAGTCGATCGATCTATTATCATTAAGTAAGAGAATATAAAGTTATATCATGCACAGGCCGCATTTCTTCGAAATATTAAATATATAATCAATGACGCCTGATTTATAAAAATCGATGTACAACGTTATCGTTTTATCCCAATTTTAAGTGTTTACTGTATTATAAGATTGTAATATAGTCGTTGGGGTAAATAAAGCTCGTTTTTCGATATAAGCATACATATGATTCATTATTACGAATACGATTTATCATTATTTTTACATTTTTCGATTGATTATTTAGTATAATAATAATATATTATTTGTATAGTATTATATCAGTATAATACATACATACATACATACATATACATATATATATATATATATATATATATTTATATTTATATAGTATATAGTACATATTAGTATATTAGTATTATTTAGTATACTAGAAAGATATTATTAGAGTAAATTAATGATGAAGTCATTATTAAGTGATTCACTCTTTCTCATCTGCTTTAAGTTTCCTGAATAGTCATTGCAGTCATTAAAAATCGTAACATCAGAAGCGAGAAATAATACACTGAGAATTCTTGCGTACTATTTTTAAGTAAAAAGATATTTTGAAAAAATAACATTACAGATCACTTTAGCACACTTGTAAAGTATAAAACTAAGTTTTTTCTTTGATAAATAGTCTTAAAATGAGTATCAAGTAAACGAGAAAACACATGGTTCGATAACTGTTGAAAAGAATGGAAAATGTTTTTTGTACAATATATTTCTTGCTAAACTTAGTTTTCGGGACATTTGATGAGTTTCATAAACATGTTAAACATTACTGTACTAGTATAGAATGAATAATAATAAAATGGCACGCAAGAGAATAATTTAGGCTGCCAAAATATCACTTTTGATGTCTATAGTTTATCGTTTTGTGAGGCGCTGCATGGAAATTTCTGATATGTAGGTAATATATACAAATAATATGCAGGTATCATTAATAAGGCAAATATTATTGCAAGATATTATTGTGCGATTATATGTATTATTAATATGTATGCGCGCACGCACGCATGTATGCACGAATGCACGCACATACACGCACGCGCGTACACACACATACACATATGCGGACATATATAAAATCTTTTTCATATATAATTTATATAATTAATTATATATATAACTCTTTAAACTTATTTTTATCACACGTATATGATTTTTCTTTGTATGCACTATATATAAATCTTATTCCTATCGCGTAAAGATGTCAATTTTTTCTCATATCTAAATCAATTTTTTGAATTGATTCAGGTCAAGAATCGATTCACGAAAAAAATCAGTTGGATAAGATCGATTCAAAATCATGTGTAGAAAAAAAATTTTGTAAGGCGCATATTGTCATAAATGAATTATGAAAGATTGATGAAACAAATATAAAAAATAAGAAAAATTAGAGAATGATTCGACGACTGTTAAGATTTCAAAAAAATTAGTTTTAAAAATACGGAAAATTAAATCGATTTAAGTGTGTTTTGAAAAAATTTTGCGTAATATATTATTTCATTTTGAAGTTGAAAGCAAATTATAAAGAGGTTAAAAAAAATTAAAAATGCAACCGTGAAAATCGATTCACGATCTTTAGGATTGTATCACGATTATTAAATCGATCGATTAGTGCCCGAAAATTGATCTAAAAGTCAATCGATGATATAAAAAACGACCTTTAAAAAATCGATCTTTAATCGGCATTCCTACTACCATATAGTTTTTATTATTCCTAGAATACATTTGGCGGTAAATATTATATTTGGCGGCAAATATTATATTGGCAAAAGCTTTAAATATATATTGAACTATACCCACCACTACAGTTTTGGATTTCTCAACAAAAGCAATATGTAAGTCTTAGAGAAACTGCATACTTAAAACAAAATCATATTTTAGATATATTTTGATACAAGAATTGAAATTATGTACTTTTTTATCACGTATATTATTTTTTTGTGTTATACATAAATTGTATAATACACATTAATTGCTATTTTGATATTTTTATCAATGCTGTTAGTTTATTACAAATTGTTTTTTTTTAATATTGCATGTGTTAATATAACATAATGTAATATAAAATATCACTTACGAAAAAAGCATATATTTCAAAAAGATAACGCAAGCCTTTCATTATTCAAAATTTTGCATTATTAATATAATGATATATTGTTCCTCTCTTTGCTTAAGGATCGATTTAATTTACTAAAACCACATTATGCATAGGACAACTAAAACGTACTGACAACAATCTAAGCTTCGTTAATATTACAAGTGTTCTTTGCTTTACCTGATATACCAGGGAAAACATATTATGTACTTGTCAGATTGTCTTACATTACTTCCAGAAAACCTTAACATATACTTTAATATATTTTTTCTTCAAAAATTTTATAACAAAAATATAAACTTTAATGTAATTATTTACAGTTGTAAAGGTATCTGTTAATAAGGAACTAACAAGGAGATTCGAAGTAAAAGATGGAAGAGGAAATCTCTGTGCAAGTGGAAGATAATTCGCCTTCAATAGAGCACACTTTACGTCCAATAGTATTTGTGTCTTGGTTCTTAGGTGTTGGCGTTGCACGTCCACAAAAGTGTCCTAAAGCTGTTACGATAATTCTACGTATCATTCACTTTGGAATATGTTCCGTCATCGTGGTTTATGGTGCGATAGATTTTTTCACTTTTGGTAACGTTTTTAAAAGTGATATATTCAAGATTATGTATTACATGAACAAAGTGATGTGTTATGTGTCGGCATATTATTATGTTTATCACGGCATTAGACAATATAATAAATGGCCTGAATTAATGAGCAAAATGAGAAACCTTGATCAGAAGATCAGAAGAGAAACGTTAATAAATGATCGACCCATAAAAAATATCGAAGTGCTAACTATTCTCGTAACATTCGCTTGCGGACCTTTATTTTTAATTATACATGCTGTATATTATTATTTCATACGTCCTGAAGATATTTTCGCATCCGATTTGCTTCTCTATTATACGATAGCTCAGTCATTGATCAACAGCTTTATTTTTGATGTGATTATCTATGTGCTATATCACAGATTTCAAACGATAAATGAATTAATCCTGCAGTTAGATAAGCAATTAAGTGCGTCATGGATTACGCTAAAAATCAGACGCATCAGAGAATTGCATACTGGTAAGACAGTGTTTTATTAAAAATATTTTTACAATCTTTTTGAAAATAAATATTACTTTAGTATTTTTTATAGAGAGTATTATTCTTTTTTCTTAGTAGTATACAGGGTGTTTAACTTAAAATATTACTGTATATTTTCTTCAAAATATCTTAATAAAAAAAGATTTTAGGCAAAATTTAAGATTCCGAAAGAGAAAAAAATTGATAATTTTGAATAAAAAATTGAATTAATTTTCCATTTAAAAAAACTAGGTTTACTTTCATATAATCTTGAAAAGTAATCTGAGTTAAAATTCAAAATTATCAACTTTTATTAAAATTATTAAATTTTTTTTTTCTCAAAACTTTATAAATTTTATCTAAAACTGATTATTTTATGATGTGAAATTAAAAAAAAAACTTGTAACACTTTATATAAAACACTTTGTATATTATTATTCATGTAGAATTCAAGATATAATTTAATGTGTAATTGTAAAAATAGATGTGCAATTTGTACAAATAGATATCAGAGAAATAATAATAGAAAATTTTCTGTTATGCAGGAATTTGTGATCTAGTCACCATAATTAACGATATTTATGGTTTTTATCTTCTTCTTTGCTCAGCAAATTGTTTCACCATGGTCGTGGCTACGTTATTTAGAATTTACATGGGCGTTGTAGAAAAAAATTATGCATTTATGCTAATAAATAATATTCTTTGGATTTTATATGCTGCACAATTTGGCCTAATGTGTTGGATCTGTACGCTCGCGCGTCAAGAATCTGATAAAACTGGAATAATTATGTATACAATTATATTAAATCACAACGTTATAAATTCTGATAAGCTAAATGGCTTAAGAAATCAACCGAGCCTAGAAATAACATCGGAAAACCAAGATGGTGAGCAAAATTCCAATAGGAGTAGCAATAATTATAATTTAAACTACATTGCCTTGGAAAATCTTCTGCGTAAAAACTTGGATCGAGACTGTATCAGAAACGAGATTAATGATTTTTCGATTCAATTACAACAACATCGAGTAGCAATTACGGCTTGCAACTTTTTCGAAATGAATAATGTTCTACTTACTAATGTGAGTACATGATTATTATATATTAAACAAACTAATTAGTCCTTTTATTGTTTATAATATATATAATTAATAGTACTATACAAAATAATAATTTATTTTTTAGTTTGTTGGTGTAATTACCACTTACTTAATAATTCTCGTTCAATTTTATCGACCTGAACATCTGGACGTATAATTCAATAGAAAATGCTAAAATATTGATACTATAAATAGCACTAAAATGTAGGGAAGAAGAAAATATGTTTATATAAACACATATTTATATAAACTGAATAAATATAACATTTATTTAAATTCTAATAAATATTATAATAAATTTATCATTATTAATTTTTTATATATTTTTTATAATCAAAATTAACTTTTTATATAATCTTTAAAAAATAAAAAATCTTATTTTACAAGAAATGTAGAATTCAAGACGTAGAATGTAGAATTAAAATACTCTATTATAAATAATAATACGCATTGTAAAGTGAGATGAAATGTAATGTTATCTAAGCTGTATGAGAAGAAAAAATAAAATGACGATCAATTTAATCGACTTCTTCAATAGTTGGACCAGCACCACCAGCGCCTGGGTTGGGTCCTGCTCCTCCAGCACCAGGAAAACCACCGGGTGCTCCACCGCTTTGATAAAGTTTCGTTACGATAGGATTGCAAATAGACTCCAGTTCTTTCTGCTTGTCAGTAAACTCTTCCTTCTCCGCTAATTGATTGGCGTCCAACCACGAGATAATTTCGTTGCATTTAGAGATAATTTTCTCCTTATCAGACGCATCGATCTTATCTTTAATCTTCTCATCTTCCATCGTGGTCTTCATGTTAAAGCAATATGACTCGAGAGCGTTTTTAGCAGTAATTCTTTCTCGTTGCAGTTCATCTTCTGACCGGTATTTCTCGGCTTCATTTACCATTCTTTCTATCTCTTCCTTCGATAAACGTCCCTTGTCATTGGTAATCGTGATCTTATTTTCTTTGCCTGTAGATTTCTCAATCGCAGAGACATTCAATATGCCTACAAAATAAAATATAGAAATATAAGAAACAGATTAAATAATCAAATTAAATAATCTTTGATTATAAAAAAATTAATGTTTGAAATATTAAACTTACCATTCGCATCGATATCAAAAGTAACTTCAATTTGTGGTACACCTCTAGGTGCCGGTGGTATTCCAGTTAATTCGAATTTACCAAGAATATTGTTATCCTTGGTCATCGCTCTCTCCCCTTCGTAGACTTGGACAAGTACTCCTGGTTGATTATCGGAATATGTAGTAAATGTCTGGGTTTGCTTCGTTGGTATCGTTGTATTCCTCTTGATCAAAGTTGTCATGACACCGCCAGCGGTTTCAATGCCCAATGACAAAGGAGTCACGTCTAGTAGAAGTAGATCTTGAACTTCCTCAGACTTGTCACCATGTAAAATAGCCGCCTGAACTGCTGCGCCATAAGCAACGGCTTCATCCGGATTAATGGATTTATTCAGCTCTTTACCGTTGAAGAAATCTTGAAGTAATTTCTGAATCTTTGGTATCCTGGTGGAGCCACCGACTAGAACTATGCTGTGAACTTGAGCCTTGTCCATCTTCGCATCTCTAAGCGCTTTCTCGACAGGTTCAAGAGTGCTTCTGAACAGATCGGCGCAGAGTTCTTCGAATCTGGCTCTGGTGATTGATGTGTAGAAATCGATACCTTCAAACAACGAGTCAATCTCAATGCTTGCTTGCGTCGACGAACTTAATGTCCTCTTCGCCCTTTCACAGGCTGTTCTTAGACGTCTCACAGCTCTCTTGTTAGAGCTCAAGTCCTTCTTGTACTTTCTCTTGAATTCTTGCACGAAGTGGTTTACCATTCGATTGTCGAAGTCCTCACCACCGAGATGCGTGTCGCCAGCCGTAGATTTTACCTCGAAGATACCATCCTCGATTGTCAGAATTGACACGTCAAAGGTACCACCGCCCAAGTCAAAGATCAGGACGTTCTTTTCGCCTGCGGCTTTCTTATCGAGACCATACGCTATCGCAGCTGCAGTCGGTTCATTTATTATCCTAAGAACATTTAGACCAGCAATAGCACCAGCATCTTTCGTCGCCTGCCTTTGAGAATCGTTGAAATAAGCTGGCACAGTAATAACGGCGTTCGTCACGGTCTTGCCCAAATACGCTTCCGCTGTTTCCTTCATCTTCGTTAGAACCATGGAGGACACTTCCTCGGGGAAGAAGGTCTTCTCCTCGCCTTTGTAAGACACCTTGATCTTTGGTTTGCCTCCATCATTGACTACCGTGAACGGCCAATGCTTCATGTCGCTTTGTACAGTCACATCATCGAATCGGCGACCGATCAAACGCTTTGCGTCTTTAGAAAGATAAAAATGATCAAAAATTATAAGTTGTCTTGTTTCTTCAAAAATCATTTCTTAAAACATGCTATGCAATTAACTGGAAATAAGGATGTGGATTGTATTGGATCCTGAAGGAATAGTTGCAGAGCGTTGAATTAAAATAATCAAAAAATATACAATATTTAATATATATAATTATAAATATCTTTTAAAGAAAAAAATTGTAATTTACTTACCAAGTTTTATTAATTATAAAAGTCAAAAATATTTATCACAAAATAATGCGTTAAACATAATATGCGCATTCGTAAAAAATTAACAATGTTCGATATTACCCAATTTATTTATTACGTAAAAATTTATAATGTCTGATTTAGCGAAAAATATATCATGTGAATAATTTTGATTTCAATCCAACAATTTCCATGAGTTGGTGAATAACGTTTGTCATTGGCATAAATTAGGATTATATAAAACTATGACGTGTATAAACGCCAGAACGCCCGGCTACAATGTAAAGGATGAAAATGAAGGGGCGGAGAAAAGAGGGAATTGCGTGCACGAATAGATGCTATATAGAAGATTATGCAAGGTCGTTAATGTAGTAAGATACACAGTCGATATACTGTATGTATTAACAGTTTCAATTCCAAAGAATCTCAAAAAAATCAAATGATTATCTCGATATTATAAATTCTAATATTATAAATATTATATATTATAAATTCTAATATTATAAATATTATTAATAATCAGATAGTCATTTGACTATTAAAATATTATAAATTCTAATATGTTAAAGTCGTAAACATACATAATAATATTTAATATAATTTTAAAACTCTATTAAAATATTATAAAACATGGAAAATCTTACTAAACTGTATGTTGATACAATTGCAACATGCATTGCATGAAAATTTCCTACTTACCAAAAATGGTGTTGCTGGGGTTCATGGCAACCTGGTTTTTTGCTGCATCGCCGATCAATCTCTCGGTGTCGGTGAAGGCTACGTAGCTCGGTGTAGTTCGGTTACCCTGATCATTGGCGATGATTTCGACTTTTCCGTGTTGAAAGACGCCCACGCAGGAATACGTGGTGCCCAAGTCAATTCCAACTGCCGGTGCTTTCGACATTGTTATCCTCCTCTCTTACGAGAAACTGATGTCTCAACGTAATCAGATACTGAAATCGTAAAATAATACGTGAGCTATATGTGTATCGCGATAAAAAAAATAGTTTGATGAATTTAATTAATTTAATCCTGAGCGACTGAAGTTGGAGTGATTGAATTGTCACGTACTTCGCGCTTGAAATAATGCGACGCAATAACTATGTCGCATAAACATGTTACGTTTCTCGAAGAATCGATTAACGATTACCTGAACAATTTCAATATTAATTGTAAAATTATTTTTATAATTATAAAAATATATTACGGTATATCTTTAAATATATGATATTATTGTAAGTCATTCAAAAATGCCGGTAACTTTGTTTTTCAGTCAATTATTGCGTCGTTGCATCGTTTGTCTCGAAGTTAAGATGTCTCAACATTATAATATAAAAATTATGATTTAAATAACAACAATAATATCTCAATAATCCTTTAGTTATTCATTCGAACAAATTCTTATATAAAATTGCACTTTCATAATTTTTGCACATTTGAATTACAACTTTAAATTTTAATCGAAACTTATATGATAGTGAAAAAAAATAAGATTTGCACATTAAACCTACTAAAATAAGCAAACTTTGATGACGTCAAAGAAAATTCTCCAAAAATATAGATTTGACGTTTTCGAGAATAAAAACAATTTCGCAGAAAATACGACGTAGTTTTCAAAAAAGAATTAACCTACACTACGATTATTTTATAAGAAAGATTATATTGAAAACTGAACACAGAATAATCACCTTGTCGAATAATCACCACGCTTTTCTATCACGTAGATTTAATCCGTTATAGTCGGCACTCAAATGTGAACTCGAGAGTACACCTGCACTCGTCGCGCTCGTTATGGAAACTGATGACGCGGGCTTCCGCCGCGCTTTTAATATACCGAATCGCCCGCTTCGAGAAGCTTCCGAGGATGACCAATCGCGGCGCGATTTTTCGAGTCCTCAAGATTCCATTGGCGCATGCGTTGCGGACGTATGAGAGACAAGGAGGGCGCGCGATGTACATTAGCGGGCTAGAAAGAGAAGGACAAAGATACGAATGCAGGAAAACTGACCCGAATCGCTCGCTATAGAATATCCTCGGCTATAATTAACTGTGCAAATCACGGTCGTTTCGTTTCGATGAAATATCATGCGCATTGATCGAGAGTATAAAGAATGTTTGTTTATGCTTTCTAGCTCGTTAAAAATCGATAAGGTTGCGCGATAAGATCACTCGAGTGCTTTCTAGAAATGGCGAGAAATTGCGCGACAGCTCGTTCGAATAAGATTAATCGCGTTTGCGCGGAAGCGAGAAAAATCTTCGACATTCGAGAAAACTCGCGACTTATCAAAGTAAACTTATTTGTACACACTTTATCTTTTACGATTCTGACAATGCTTCGACTCGCTTAAACGATAATAACGAAAAAATGCTAAAGTAAAAATACCTGTAGATAAAAGGAAATATAAATACTCCTATTTGTCATTATATAATTTCGAAGATTAATACAAGCACGTTAACAAGGTTTCCTTATCGACAACTCGAGGATGTTTTTAAATTGCTATAATAAATAATACCATTTTAGCGCAATTAAAAAGTTTCGTAACGAAAAATAAGTTTTAAATGAAATAAAATATACTCAACATTTTTCCTCAAGTACCAATTGCAAGAGAGAAGATGGGTTGACAATAAGTTTCATTTAATCGAATATATTCGACCGAAATATTATATAACGATTATTTATAAAGATTCTCGTAAAATATTACGAACGATTCTAATTTAAGAGCAAACATTTACTGAAAACGAGCGACTAAAAATAGTTCTTACGATACATAAATTATAACAGGAAGTTACCAACGCCATCTGAACGTTATAAACCCGACTTAGCATGTTTATCGTGTTGCATTCAATCGATTGAGGATAAGAAGATACGCTATCGATTCAGTTTCAGTTCAGTGTCGCACATTACACTGATTATGAAATATTGTCTGATAAAGGATTAACAGCTGATTCATAGAATAAATTTGTCCTCTGATATATTATCTTTCATCATAACGTAACCTTTGAGTATCCAACCACTACATCTGCCGTTATTCCATTTTTTCTATTATCAGTATTAGTCGAATAGAAGTGATGGTTGCTCGTCGGACATGACAAGTTAGCCTTCGTGGCTTTCCTGTTTGATAAACTGTCATGTAGAAATGCTCCGATTATCACCACACTGTTAGATACTTTAATTGTGCAGTACAAATGCAGTCAACAGCGTGCAAATAATAGTTGTGTGCATTATGTGATAAATAATTGAATTATACAGTTTTAAGTTCATGTTTTGTGATTGTAAACATTAACCCATACTCGTATCCAGGTATCAGCAGGTCTTCCGTAATGACTGCTTAGTAAGTTTTTTCTTCTTTTTCCCTCATCTCATCTAGATTTCATTGTCCTAAAATGCTTGGCTTGAGTTTATTTCATTGATATGCACGTTGCATGAGTGCAGTAGTGAAAAGGGCTTGGAAAGCAAAAAACAAAAATTATCATTCTTTTAATGAGCTCTAATTATTCTAAATCAATATGGTAGTTCATGATTTTATCATGTTATTAATAGATATCGTGTAAACTGATTATATTTTCATAAGTCTTATGAATTTCTTCATTGCTATAAGAAATTTAAAGAAGAAGGTCAGATATTAATTGTCATCTGATACAGTATCTATGGACACTATGGGCTTTCTCTTTTCACATTATTAATTGGGAAAAGAAAATAAATATATTTATATTATCAATAGATTTATTTGAATAATTATTTTTAACAGCAGTAAAATTAGACATATATTTTGGTATTTAATTTTTTTTCTAGTAATAGAAATGATATATTTATCATTTAAATTCTTTGCATGCAATAATCTTTAATCATACTTGATTATCATTATATTATATATTAATCAAAACTTATGCACACAAAATTTCTTTACATCCTGGATAGTAACAGAGGTGCACCAGGTATATCAGGAAATGCCTTTGATTGTTGGGTTCAGAAGTCTAATCTGCATGATGATTCTGCTATAACAAAAATGCAACATCAATTCTGGGTGACAAAGCAGGTTTTGTCTCGGAGATTAGGGAAAAAAGAGGACGAATGTATAATTGCTTCAGATGCTGAACTGGACGCAAAGCTAGAATTGTTTCGCAGTATCCAAGAATCTTGTTCTTACTTACAAAGGGTTATTGACAGATACCAAGAAAGATTATGTAGTGCGTTTTAACCCAATAATTCTAATAAATAACATATTAATATTATCATCCTTTAACATATCTGTATTATAATATTTTTTCTTTAATAAATATAAAATTTAAGAATAGACTATATTATGGTAATAAATAATTTAAACATTTTATATAGATTTAGCTCAGGAGGAAAATGCAATGGGACGTTTCTTGAAAGATGCTGGGAAACAAGATAAAACTCGTGCTGGTAAAATGATGTCAGCAGTTGGAAAATCTTTATCTTATTCAGGTCAACAAAGGCTTGCATTGAGAGCTCCTTTGGGTCGATTGTATCAAGAAGTAGAAACATTTAGGCAAAGAGCTATTGAAGATACATTACAAAATGTGCAAGCGATGGAAAAAGCTCGCACAGAATATCGCGCTGCTTTGTCATGGATGAAAAATATTTCTCAAGATTTAGATCCAGATACGTCCAAACAAGTAGAGAGATTTAAAAAAGTTCAAGCACGTGTGAAACAGTAGGTTTCATCTTGCACTTTTATGTAATACAAATTATGATCACTGACTTAATCTCAATTCTTCTCTTTTAACTATTATATTTAATTAAATCACATACTGTGTTGTGCCAACATATACATATTTAATTATATATTTAAAAAATTTTTATATATATCTGTCAATTTAGGGGCAAAATAATTTTTGACAATCTGGCTCTTGACTGTCTTCAGAAGGTTGATTTATTAGCTGCAGCAAGATGTAATATGTTCAGTCATGCCTTAGTTTTATACCAAACCACACTCCTGAATTTTACAAAGAAATCTGCACAAGCATATTCTACGATAGCAAACAGCTTCAAAGGCTATCAACATTTTGATTTCACAGTTGTACGAGAACTGGCTGAAACTTCTAGTAAATTGGCACAAGAAACAGGTGGTGATGATGATCCAGAAAAGGATAAGTGAGTTACAAAATAAAAATAAATATCATATCGTCACTTTTATCATGATATCAAATATTTATAGATTACCATTTTTCGATATGGATTATCATGATGATATTGAAGAGGCACAAGAAGCTACTACAAATTCAGAAAGTACATCAGAGAAAACTAAGCAAAGTGAGAAGCTCTTGGATATAGAAAATGAGTCAAAGGATATATTAATACAGTTAGATACAACTACAAATTCTTCGAGGAATGGAATTGTGCATAATACTAATGATACGGAAAATGATAAAGGTCTTGAAGAATTCTTTGGAAATCTAATATTAGAAAAAGGAGTTTCTAATAATACTGAACAATCGGTTACAAAATCCGAGGAAAATACTCATTCCATGTTTAAGAAAAATTCCGAAGAGCAGAAGATAGCAATGGATATATTTGAAGAATGCAGTATGGAGTTTAATTTAGCTGATTTACCATTATTGTCATCAGAAGCTCAACAGCAGCAATCATTAAATTTATTAGCTTCTGAAAGTGCAGCACTATTTGATGAAATTTTGAATGATAAGCAACAATGCACAAACAATGATTGGGAAGGCATATCGAATGATACTTTTCTACCACCAAACATTCTGAAACAGAGTTTAGGAGATGCAGCGCTAGGTATGGGACAGAGAAGTACCACAACTAATAACATGGATGACAAAGTAAGTATTTCTAAATTTAATCCAGAATATATAATAATTCCCTATCTCTCCCCTTATATAATTAACCTTACAATTCTTTTCATAGAAAAAGAACAAGACTGGAAAGCAAAAAGGTAACTCGTGGTTGGACTTATTTGCAGAATTGGATCCATTGGCTAATCCAATGGAGAATCTTTCTGGTGATAGTAATGCTTCTGCTTAATTCATAATGCATTTTAACAGTAATATTCCTGCTACTCTGGTTACTTGATATTTTTAACAATAAGGAAATCTGATCAAGTTATCATTTGTTGTTAATGAATATTATAATGCAGTGAATGCATAATTTAATGTTTTCACTTGTACAAGTTTGTATCAGTATTTACCAGTTTGTAAACTTTTAAATTTAACATTCCAAATTTCTTTTTAATAGAATTGTCATAAAAATCAAAACTATTTGAATTACTACATGAATTTTTTCATATAAGCTAGAGACATATATAATACCAAAGATATAAAATTTAATGTTTATTGAACATTATGCTAGTCATATATATATTTTCTTTCAAATATATATTACAAAATCTTCAATATAAATAAATTTATTATGGAGTTCTTTGTAGTATTCTAACAAACACATCCACACAAAGGAATGGAAGTATACTACATAAGTATGTTTTCTGTTTATTTCAAATTCTTTTCATGATTTTATTTATTCTCTTTTTGCTTATTGCGTACCAATTCATAACATCTGAAGCCTATGCTTGTAAACTAAATAAAATTGTAAATATTTTAAGTTAATAATATAAAAAAAATACATCTCTTTCAATAAACACAAAAAAACTCGTATATATTTTTCATATTATTTTTTGTATTGAATTAAATAAATAACAGACAGAGTTACAGGCATAGGCTCAGAAATATTATTTTGTTCAATCTTGTTTATAACTTTCAAATACTTATACATCATTAACCGAGGTAATCACAGTATTAATGCTAAAATTGTAATGTATTTCAAATATAAAAAAACGACACTTGAAATCATCCGAAATCTAATCTTCGTCGATAATATGTTTCAAATTCAAGGCTCATAAAATTGCGCTAGGGCAGTCTTGACTCTGAAAGGGAAATAACAATGAAATTTGTTAAACAGTTTATAGTAAGTGACAATAACATGCAAATGGAATATAATATATATTATTCATACTTCTCCAACAATTGAGTATCTTTCGTGTGACGCAGTTGTTGCAAGATACGGTAAATTCCTAATTCTCTTAAACGTGCTTGCCGTTGTGTAGAACCGGGTTCGTCTCTCCAGACTAGGTTACATACACAGAAAATCGCTGCAACTTGTAGTTTCACATTGCTATGCATCTACACAAAATATACATATTGTACATATACTATAAAATATACATATGTATAATTGAAATCAACATTTAAAAGACAACTATTAAATTAATAGATAGAATGCAAATGTTTTATCGATTTAGACACGCATTTGGCATCACCGAGCTTATGGCAATCAAAACAAAATTTTTTTATATTATTCTATCCTATTGTAAAGAAAACAATCATCCATAAGCACGAGCCGGCTTATTCGTAAAATCTATACAAAAATTAATGGACGCAATAAAATAATGAAGTAAAATATCATATGATATACACTGTACGAACCATATAATCCATAAGTTTTTTAAGTACATCGTCGTTAGCCATAATGTGATCTCTAGCTCGATCACCGTCAGCGACATTTGCTAAAATGCAAAGTGCTTGTTCCTTAACATCCGCCGGATGTTCCGGGTCTTCCAATACTAAAATAACCGCTTGCATAACATGAGTGGCATGTTCGCCCATTATACGATCTATGTGAGCTTTAGTAGAAAGCAAATTTCGTAATAATCCCAGCGTTTTCATCAAAACGCTCAACTCTGGATCGGCCAGAAGGCGAAAAATCTGATCAGTGCCCAAGCATGAGAGTATTTGCGATTTTACACGTTGCTCCGCTTGAAAAGCCACATTCATTAAGGCCCAAATGCCGTTCAGTCGAAGTGCCGATTCGGGTCGTTTAGTGAGAGAACACAACAATTCTACTCCACCGGATTCGAGAATTGGTTCTTTGCTTGGACTAAACTCCAATAGTAAATTACATAAAGTACTCGAGGCAACAGTTAATAAATCACCTTCACCTTCGCCTCTACCTATAGTACAATAATTATAACAATGTTAATAGTAACTCATAATTGGCGATCGAATACTAATAACAGCTAATTATAAGCATTGATTTCTTTATTCCTTTTCTTCTTTTGGAAAAATGATCTTACGGATACAGAAAAGAGATGCAGATAGAGAAAAGAGAATAGGGATGTATTCATTTTTGTTTACATGCATAAAAAAAATATGTCGCCCCATTTTAAATTTACATATTAATATCGTGTCAATTTTGTTGTATTTATAAATTAGTCGCGTTTAGACTGCTTGCTTCTTTTCAAAATGTGAATATGACCAATTTCAACAAAACAATTTAAAAGATGATAAACTTTTTTTGATACGTGTATTTTTATTCAACTACAATTCTCTTGGCTCTTATATAGAATGAAGAAAAAATAATTCACAATGTACATGAATACTTCTTTTCAATATATTACGTTTTTTCTTTTTTTTTTTTCTTTTTTTTTTGATTAAACTGTTAGTTCGAAATTTAATACTAAATATACTGTATCTTATATGCAATGTATACATGCAAGATACATATTAATGTCTATCAATGTTTATTATAGCGTATTATGCTTTGTTTATTATGCTTATTATAGCGTATTATGCTGTAATATGCTTATTATAAATATGTATTATCATATTTTACCCTCCAACCCCTTGTCCGCTCCATGTAATAACTGCATAAGCGGCCTCCATACTGCATGATCCTGAAACGTAGTGCGAAGCTGTTGCACGCTCCTCGAAAGGGAATGCAAACATCTAACCGCGGCTAAACGAACGCGGGATCCGCCGGGGTCTTGAAGACCTGAGACAACTTGTTCCATAAGACTTTCCGTTTCGATAATACGTTTTCGAATGTCTTCATCGTTAGCACCGAGAGACGCGAATGCTCTAAATGCGGCTTGTCGCATATCTTGCGTTAATGTTGCATCCTGAACCTGGAACAAAAAATATTGCGCACTTTTTTATTGTTATAAAAAAAATGATATAATACAATAATATATTTGCCCGATTCTATATGTATTTTGCTATAATCTGTACACATTTATAGTGTAATTGTAGATTACTTGTGGATGTGGTCTTAGCAGCTCCGCCAGTGTCGGTATTAGATGATTACTGATAGATGCTAAACGCTGCAAATCTGTATCAACTTCGGTAAGATACGCAAGTGTCTCGGCTGCGGCGACCCTCTCGCGCGGTGGTCGATCTCGATGACACAACCGAACTAGACACGGTAATGCGCGATATACCACTCGTGGATCGGTAGACGGCAATGCACCGGCTCTGTGCATATACGCGATGCATCTTGCCGCTTCGAGCTGTATCAACGAGCTCTTTTCGCGTCCCATTAATTGGCCTAATGCCACGGGTACCAATTTACCATGGACGGTATTGTTCGTGCTGGCTGATGCAACCATAACAGATACCATGTGATTCTGGTAACACATGTTTGCTAAGCAGGCTAGAGCTGGTAATTGAATGTCGGACAGAGGGGAATCCAATTGCATCGCCAACGTTTCTACCGCTCCGCCTTTGGATAAAGCGTTTTGTTCCTCTGTTGTCTAATAAGCAATTTTGCAAATTAGTTTCCTCATGATTCTAATATATTTTTTATGATATAAGTTTTAAGTTATCTCTTTACCTTGCATGCTGTAGTTAAAATCGTCGCGACGCAGACTTGACAGGTTACTGATCGACTCGCCAAGGACAATAATCGTGGTACTAATGCAGGATCTTGGTAAATCGAGTGAACTGGTGCTGCTGCATGTTGAAATACTGTACGTAGACATCGCAAACAAGCTTCGTTCAATTGGTCCAATACCTTTGTCTTGCCATCCATAGAGATCTCAGGAGTTGGCGCAGAAAGCAAGACTTGAAGGAGTAATGGAACTACACCTAGGTCTATTAGCGCCAATACATGCTGGTCTGTGCCTTTGGCTAAAGAACCCAACGTTACCGCAGATTCTAATCTTACATGATCGCATATAGTATCAGATGTATCTCCGAGCAGTTGCAAAAGCCGTGGCACCACACCCTGAGCTATAACCGAACCCTTTTGCCTGTTGCTGCCAATAACCGAATTCTTGAGGCATCTGAAGGAAAAAAAAAATGTTCATGTGCAAAAAATTAATACAATTTTTTTGTATATTAGACAAAAGAATATAAAAATAAATAAAACTGTCAGAAATTTTTCATCACAGAAAACAAGTTATGCTACATCCTTAAGGTTAAGTGCAATTTACTCACATAATTGCCTCTAAACATTTCTGCGGATCTGGCGAATATAGTTCATCGATATAACTCCTGGAGCTCTCGATGTCCTGCAAAATCGCGAGAAAAAAAATCGTGATGTAATCTTGCCTTAGTAATAGTAATAAGATTTTGCGAGATCTGTTGAAATGTCAAACGACCGTTCGTCAAAGGCCGCATACGAATTAAATACGCCATCAAACTCACCATATATGGCTGCATCACCGACACCATGAGTAAAATTGTGTTCTCACATAAACGTTTCGTAAATCGTACAATTTGATCGGTCTCTTCGCGAAACGATTGCCACGAGGATCGTCGAATCTAGTTTGCGTATTATGCGAAACGTTCGCGACACGATTGTGCGCTGCGTTCTTGTGTTCTAAAATGAGCTCGATTTGTTGCCAATGATGCCAACGTCACGGAAACGTTTATTCTGTCAGAGAGAAGCCTGGGAGTGGCCATCCCGGCCTGTTCCCTCAAGACCTTTAAATGTGCTGTACAGTGTCGCCTCTACATCATTTTATCAGGTGGCCGTTCTCTTAGAGACAGAGAAAAGTTTGCCCTTTTAATTGCTCTTTTTCGCATTCCTTCTCTTTTCTCTACAAAAATGTCTTTTTTTAAATATATAATTAATTTATAAATTAATTTTTAGCGCGATTAACGCTTATAAAACAAAATTTTTGAGATTAAGTAAATAAATGCATTTTTTTTAATGATTTTATTTTCAATTCTTAAAAATGTAAAAAATAAAATTAATAGTTAAGTGAAAAATGAATGATTAAATTAATTGTACATATATATGTGTGTAAATATGCGAATATTTATATGATATACATGCAGATTGAAATGTCGAGATGATCAAAATTTGAACGATTAGGAAGCTTTAAGTTTTTTATTTGATTCATATTATAGATAAAATAAAAATGACATTGTGTAATTTCAGAGAGAAAGATGAGATAAAATGAGTAGGGTAAATTATCGAAAAATAATGATCCGATAAATTTATTCACATAAAAAGGGCGTTCACGAAACAGCTGATGCAGCTCCGTAATAACCTAGATTCACCTTTACGTAGAATGAATTTGCGCTCCATCATAACCAATGACGTGGATATAGGTTAAATTTTTCTACGCTCATGTGTGTAGTACGCGCAAACAAATAAAATCAGTTGCATTAGACACGTTTTTCATAAGGAACAATCTGTAAATAATGTTCGAAATCACGGATACACAGAGTGAGTGCAGAAATTCCTTGAAGCAATATTGACCGACTTGTAACAATAAGCCGGTGAATATCTGAGACGACGATTAAATACTGTTGATTTTATTACAAGGGATGTGTTTCAGAAATCGGAGTAGGATTGGCAGGATTTGGTATTTCTTTCCTGTTCCTTGGTGTATTATTACTTTTCGATAAGGGTTTACTTGCTATTGGAAATGTAAGATTATACTCTTGCTTTACTTGTATAAATCCTAGTTGTACGTGTATATTCTAGACTTCTGTTTAAATTGTCCTTTTAGCTATTGTTTATATCGGGACTTGCGTGTGTAATTGGGCCATGGAGGACTTTAAATTTCTTCTTTCAAAGACATAAAATGAAAGCCAGCGTCTCGTTCTTAGGAGGCGTTTTGGTAGTACTCATGGGTTGGCCCATTGTGGGAATGATTTTAGAAACTTATGGCTTTGTATTGCTATTTAGGTAAGTGATACGTTTTAATAAACTTGACATTATATAAGAGTTATTTCTATAAAAATATTAATTTATTACATTCTTTTTTATTTTAGTGGCTTTCTACCAGTAGCAATAAATTTCTTACGAAGAGTACCTCTATTGGGTACTCTACTGAATATGCCTGGTATCAGTCGAATTTTGGACATAATAGCAGGTGACTCCAATAGGACAACTGTATGATAATTATATAATTTAAACATTTTTATATAACTTTAAAAATATCAACACATTTTTGCTTCAAACTTGTATATAAAACAATCATGTGTTCCATATTCTTTTTCTGTCACTCTTGTGTTAGGATGTCAGTTGTTGGATAGAAATTTTTGTACAAAAACACAAATGTGTGTATATATATATATATATATATACACACACACACACACACATATACATACATACGTATATATATATATATATATATATATATATAATTTATCTTCTATAAGTGTAAGAAAATATCGATAAGCATATAGTGTATAATTGATTTGTATATTTCTAATTTACATAAATATGACTTGTATACGCTATCCGATTACAGTATGTTATCTGATTACGTTAAGAGTACGCTCAATTATTAATATATGTGATGCATTCCATAAAAAGTTTTATATAAAAAGCAAAGTTTAAATTTCCTTTTGATTTAATTCCTCATTAAAAATTAGTAAATTTTTTAAAAAATGTATACTCTTTTCTTAATCAGATAATAAATGTTTTGAGACAAAACAATAAATATTTAATGTGTCATATATCAAGTTTCACATAAAATTTTGAAGACGTACTCAATTGAGAAGATATTTATATATGTATGAAAATTTTCAAAGTGAAAAAGAAATGATACTGCAAAAATATTAAGAGCATGTTGAAGCAATTTAAGTTAAAACTACTTGATTACTGAAATTAAAATCAATACTAATAAGCTTTAATTTAATTTTTTCACTATATATAAAATCATAATTAGTTAAGTAATTTAATTTAATGTATGAAAAAAGCGATTAAATCCATTTTTCAAATAAATCTTTATTGACAGGATGAAACAAAAATTTCCGAATGTATGAAATTTTATATCGCTTTTATTGATTTGCTGCTTTCCCTGCATGCATCCTAACATGAACAGATTAGATGCATACATTCTGAGTAACCGCTTTTCATCTTACACATAATCATTTGGAGTGCGAAATTAAATTATCGTCCATCAAAATTTAATGGACTGACTGATACCATTAAAATGATACTTTATTAAATATGAATTATGAATTATCTACAACGGGCCGAGAATAAGGGCGGGGGGCGGCCCAGGCTACGCGCCCCGCCATCGTCGTGATATTTCGTCGCGCGTCCCCCTCTCTTTTGTTTTTCCGTGCGCTGACTCGATTCTCTAGGAAGTTATTACTTTCAGTACTTAATATTCTGATCGGTCTATTTATTTCAACGCGTATATGTGGAATATCCTCCAGGAAACAGGTGTTCGTGATACCTCCGCGATTGTATTCGCCTCTTCGTCATCTTTATGCTAATATGAAAATACGCGTAATATATCAACCGTTGCAAGAGAATACTGAATCCGGCAATAAGTTAAGCAGATTCTCTATTTTTTTTTTACGTTTACAATTTTTGCCGAGTTTCATGCATTTTACGAGCTGCTACGTCAAACGTCCTCGGCCTGAGTTACTTGTTCATGTTATTGACAGCAAGTCTTCTGTCTCTGGGAATCGCTATCAAATCGAATTGTATAGATAATGACGATGTTTGTGATTGTGAAAATAATGAGACGAGAATTGTTTTAGCGCTTTAAATAAGATTCTTGATTTCATCGTACAATACGAGTACGAGCGCACCGCCAGTACCACGGAGAACGTTGGAGAATGCACCCTTGAAGAAAGCATTAGCACCTTCTGATTTGTAAATGGTGGCCCAACAGTGGAGAGTGTTTTTATACAGAATGTCAGTCTTGGCACGGCCAGACTGCATCATCATACGTCTACGTACTGTATCAAAGGGATAGGAGATAATACCCGCGACAGTGGTTACAACCTGCAATAGATTTGAATGCATAAGCAAAACAGTTTGATGAAATTGTAAGAATTTTACACAAACAACAAAACTAAAGTCGTCTTCTCACCTGGGCAATACCCCATGAGACAAGGAATGGAGTCTTCTTGGGGTCTGGCAACATACCACGGGCAGTGTCATAGAAACCGAAGTAAGACGCACGGTAAATAATGATACCCTGCACCGAGACGCCGAAGCCACGGTATAGACCGACGATACCGTCAGTTTTGAAGATCTTAGTTAAGCAATTTCCTAATCCAGTGAATTCACGCTCACCACCACCTTTACCTACATCGGCAGCCAACCTAATATATGACAATACAATAAATTTTATTATCAAGAATATGAATTGTTAGCATCTTTAATTGCTAGAAAATATACAAATTTATCTGTTAAAACAAATCAATAATAATCTTTTTATGACATTTACCAATACAATTTACTGGATATAAGTATGCAAAAACTATATTATTCTTTCTTAACATTCATATTTAGATGAAAAAGAGTGAAAGGAGGAAGTATCTGGATAAAATTAAATGTATACAATCTAATTTTAAATTATAAGATATTATTTCTTGATTAATAATATTTATGTTAATGTGTTAATATAACTTAAAATACATCGATAATATATAATTTACCTAGTTCTGGCAAAGTCAAGTGGATAGACAAAGCACAAAGATGTAGCTCCAGCGGCACCACCAGATGCAAGATTTCCAAGGAAGTAACGGAAAAATTGAGTATTCTTATCAACACCACCAAGGAAAACTTGCTTATACTTGTCCTTAAAAGCAAAGTTCAAAGCTTGCGTCGGGAAATATCTGATCACATTGGCAAAATTACCACGCCAATAACTGAGGAATCCTTGTTCTTTTGGAATACGGACAAAGCAATCGATCATACCTAGAAAAAGACAGAATAATATATAATATAAATATGTACCGCCACTTAATGTACAAATAAATACACATATGTCAAATTTATAATTTACTTTTTAACTCTTACATTATTTAAATATTTCAGAGATTACAAGCAAAAACACAGAAAGATCTTTATACAATATTAAAATTCAAATTTTTAATGTCGGTAAAATTCTATTAATACAATTTTACCGACATTAAAAATTGACAAATAGTTACACCTTAATATATAATAAATAATCAACGATTAAACATTTACAGCGAATCGGCAAATAGTTCCAATTATGATTTTTTCCATCGATTCCAATTTTGTTCGATACTCGCAATTATTTAATACCGATTAAATTATACCGCGGACTTTCGAAATAGCAACATTTTCTACGCATTTTCTTCTCTTCGAGATATCGAGACGAGACCGTCTCGATCTTCGGTTCCAGCATGGATGAATCACCTCAAGATTCTAATGGACGGCATGAATTCATGACGCGTGGAAGCAGACGGAAGAATTCGGTCTCGTGGTCGACGAAAGGGCGGCCATGTTGGACCGCACCGTCATCGATCGGGGTTAAGAGAGCGAAGGAGAGAAGCCACGCTGCCATCTGGCTTGGGACGATGCGTTTTATTGAAATATCGATCCATCGCGAGGAACCGGAGATGAGCGCCCATGTACGATCGGCCTCGGCGTGGCCGAAGTTATGTAATGCAAGTCGCCGAAACTTGGGCTTGACCTTCGTTACATAAATGCGCGAAATTCTTCGACGCGATATATACTCCTCGCGTGGCTCTATCGCGCGCGAGACACGCGAGGCATCCGTTGCTGGCTCTAATGCCGATGGCATTACATAATGGCCATATCTCGTCTTCCCTCCTCTCGCTGCAGCTTAGTCGTTCTAGCTCGCGCAGCTCGAGAACTATGGCACGTTCGGGATTATTGGCTACTGTCACACATGTTCCGTGGGGCTGCCATTCATGCCATTCATGCCATTCCACCACGCGCCGCGTTAACGGTACCGGGTTCTCCGGGGACGTCGCGCTATAGCCGTGTCTCCGTCTCGCCTAGTTCCTCTCGTATGCGGCAGACGCGACTTTTCGACACGATCCTGGGTGATTCTAGGACAAGAGGAAGAACAGCGAGATATATGAACTCACACATACACACTCACCCTTGTAACGCTGCTCCTCGGAGATCTGCTTGGAGATGTGCTGTACCTGCAGTAACAACTTGACGCGCTCGATGGGCGCGACGGTGGTCTTGGAAATCGCCGCGGCCACACCGCCGGCGATGAAATCCTTGGCGAACGCCACGGGATCCGCGAGTCCAGACATCGTAGGGTGTGTGTCGGTGATACGGGTAACGTAAAGGAGAGAGAGAGGAGACTCCTGATCTTTAAGTGTTTCGGACGCGCGCCGGACGACGAGTGAGCGAGGCAGCGATCTCGCGTCACGAGCGAACGGGCCCTCCGCTAAGAATAGTCGCGCAGGTCACGTGTATCAATCTGCGCAACTACGAAATCACGTATCGCGCGGCACCGCGCGTACCGCATGTGCGTCACCGACGAGTGGAATCCCGTCTCTCGGGGCCGTGACACGTGCCCGCCGTGACACTTCCGCCCGAAAGTCGCGACCCTACTTTTTCACGGTCGATTTTCTTGGCGACACGCCGCCGTTATCTTTCGCACCCGGCCGAACTTCGCGAGCCGCGAATTCCGCGTTCGAAAGTCGTCCCTTCTCCCGCCTCGGCGACGTCCCGTCCGGTCGCGACCGGCCTATCGCGGCCGCGATCGCTGCCGCGGGTATTCGAAATTTTGAACTTCCCCCGATGGCGGGAAAATTGACTTTGGAATACGCGCGATAAGAAAGTCGCCCCTTCGATTGTTCGTTTCGATTAATAAAAGCTTATTAAAAATGTACATACAAATCCGAAAAAAATGAAGATTGTGGGAAGAAAGAATATTTTGTTGAATAATTTTATAATGCAATAAAATATACATATACAAGGGAAAGATACATGAAGTTTGATCTATAAGTATATAAGTACATCAACAAAAGGATAAATAAAAATTAAACAATTGGTCGATAAAATAATTATATGTAATGTCGATTTTACAATCTAAATAACATATTATCGGATCAGAGTAAAAATTTTAGTAAAGATTTTTAGTAAAACTTTTATCGTTTCAAGTATAATATATAGATTAGTACTATATTTTCGAAAAATTGAGCTTAACTTACTTATTCCCTAATTATTGATGAGCAAGATTTCAAAAGTTTGAATTCGTATCGGTTCATTGTTGCCAATTTATAAATGACAACCAATCACGAGCACGTGATCGCGTGAAGTTGCACGAGTATCCCTTACCGGCTGAGAATCTTCACCTATTTTCAGGGCGAACTTTAATCCTTTAAAGTGACCGCGGACGAGCTTGCGCGTTCCTGTCAAGAACGAAATGCAAGGTCAATTCTCTCCGAGGAAGGAGGTCAACGGGACGTGTCTCTTGCGTAATCTTGGCTCGCGGCCATCGCGTTGCGGAGAACCGCGCCAGAGTTCAATGGGGTAACGTCAAAAAAGTAGTGTATTTATATATTCGTGAAAAAAGTGCGCGCGCGCGCACGTGGAATAGACGATGCTAAAATCAGCTGTCTCTCGCCCACATACACGTGGTTTGTTACACGCTTGTGACGATAGCGATTACGAAGCGTTCTGCTGGCTCGTGCGCATATCACCGATAATACACAGTTATACAATTATATAGTTTTCTTTTTGTATACGTTGGAGAACAAATCACCGAAAATAAATACGCCTACTTTAATCTCTCAATTCTTGGTGCGAACGTAATGCCTTGATACAATTTAAATTATACTTGACATTGACCTTACAATTAAATTTAGAAGAATCTACGAGGTAATCGAGATAGAAAAGACGTTGTAAGCTCTTTAATTTAGAATCGATTTAATCTTGATTATGAAAATGTGGAGAATAAACATCTGTATGACGTGTGATTCACTAATTTTAAAAAATTGGATTTTTTTAACGAGCAAAAAGCAATCTACGAATAAATATTTTATTTATTTATTTTATTTATTGAATAAAATTAATTTAAATTTATCTAATTGATCTAAATAAAATTAATTAAAATTAAAAACATAATGTCTTGTCATCAATTTATACTTGTTTATTATCTGTAATAATAATCAGAAGCATTCCAAATTAGCATCAAATAATTTATTTATATCAATACCATAAGATAAGCACCATAGTCTGATGATAAAGAACATGGAAAGCATGAGTATGTATATAGCAGCATGAGAAAGCATATACATAATAATAAGTAATAATATTACTAGATAAAGAACTATATATTTGTTCAACTAATTAGATTTTTTTTATTCTTAAAGTCAATATTCCAATCTTTAAAAATTAGGAAAATCATCTCACATAATACATATGAAATAGAAATTATACAAAAATGAGACAGCCATTTATAATAAATGTTTTACTTTTTTTTAATAACTTTATTAAAATAATTTAAATAATGTCTACATTTTGGCAGAGATAGTATGATGTACATTTATTTTATATTTATCAGCTTTATGTTAATAGGTAAAGTAATGCATATTCTCTGTTAAAATTATTACTAATATAGAAATTTCTCTAATTTCAATTTAAAATATATATTATCGACAAATACTTTTACATAAAAGAAGATAGCTTTTCTGTACAATTAAAAATTTTCCAGTTATACGTTACGATGATGATATGAACCTTTTGCTCAGATAAGACAGATGAGGACGTCACACGATAAGAACAAGAAGATTTCAATGAAATTTCCTGTGATATATATCGATACAGTTCGTAAGAATGCACGGACCACGTGCTGTTATCAACTCGTTAAAGGTCGGACCCGAGCTCGGGGACTCGAATATCTCATATTGGATTAAGTGACGACCTTGAAATTGACTGCTATGCTTTGCGACTGCGTAATCGTCCAGTGTTGGCGATTTCTCGATGAACGATCAATGCACCTGGAAAACGTTTCTTTTATTAATTTTATTATCATTACGAGTCATGTGTAATTGCAACACGAGGTCTCACTTGGATGGCACGTGATATTGAGAAAACCGAAAAAGTCATTATTGTCGTTATGAGCTTCGTCTCTGTCGTAATATAATCAGGAGCGATTACTGCCTCCTTTAAAGTAAACGATATTTTTTTGCAAATTTTCGGACGAGTATTATTTGTTGCTCAAAACGTTTTTTCATTATATAAGCCACGGTTCGTGAATCTTTATTAACTCAAAACTAATAACTTAGTAAATTAAGAAATTTGTTACATTTTAATCAATTAATTTTATAATTAATAATAAAATTTAACAATCTATTATATATATCTCATAAAACAAGATTATGAAACCGAATTTTTAAATCCACATTAATCTTAATATTCTGCGCGCGCGCGCGTGTATGTGTGTGTGTGTGTGTGTATGGATTTAAAAATTCGGTCCCATGTTTCATAATCTTGCTTTATGAGATGAATCGAATGATTGCAATCGATTTTTTGGCTGTCCCTGATAAGCTGTGCGTATATATGCGTGAATATTTAAATAGAAATATATATAAACGACGCTTTTATGTAACGTTTCGTAATTTCATACATCAATTTTGCGATCAGTTTCTGCATATTATTATTTTATCATTATACAATATGCAATATGAATATTTATCCAACTTCCTATAGATATAAAAATATATATAAATAACAGAAAAGATTTTTTTCTGTACTTTGTACTTTGAGATTTGGAAAAAAGGTATAATACTCTGATTTATATTCATATAAAAATAGGTGCCTGAGTAAAAATAAATTTATGACGTGCCAACATTTAATATAGTACATCCTTAAACTTGATCTATTCTGTGCATGTTAGTATTATTCTCATTGTCGGTGAAAAATGTACGAGCATTATTTTATACTTCGTAGATATACAATATGCATATGTGAAACACCTAATAGATATACGTATATATGTCGCATATATTTTTCAAAAAGATAAGATATAGCTTTTAACTAAACTGTAATATAACGATATACGTTTAACATTATCTACATAAATGTTTCCGCGAAAAACTGTATTTAGTTCGATAAATAATCACCTGACTCATGACTCGATTATTTAAATTATCGTAGATAATTCTGAGGAAACTCTGTTGGTACATTTGACAAGAGGACTAGAAGACAGATTCAACGCTATCTAGTGGTAGCCTACTAGACGGTGTACAGTATGAGAGTAAAAAAAGTCGTAAACTCCTCGAAAAAGACGAAATAGTGAAGTGGAGTGAGGCGGAGAGTTGATACGGAACAGTAAATAAGCGAATCGAACCGGAGTTTTGTCGAGCGATGCGTTGAATTCTTTTACGACGAATTATTACGACGTCGTCGAACGTACGAATGGGTGCGAGGTCGGCGAAACGTCAAAGACATCCGTGCGAATTTACAGTAAGCGTCTTTGCAATTTTATATCGCTTTGTAACTTGTACTATTTGACGTAACCCGGGTTCCGTATTTTCAACGCTGCGCATTAATCAAATAGCTGATCTACGTAATTATCCGGAATGTAATTTGTGCCGTGAGATACTTCTCCAATCTGACGTTTACGGTAAACGTTATACGGTCTATAAATTCTACTCTAATTAAGGGTTCCTGTTCAATCTAATTAATTATACGTAACATTTATATATCTGTTAGATAAGACATTTTATTTAGATAAATATTAGTTATTCAATAACATAAGACACAAGATGAGAAATAATTCCTTTTTTTTTTCATTCGTAAAAAATGGGTGTTAGTTTGTGTCTTCAGTACTTTCTGTTGATATTATTTTGTAATCAAGCTAATAAATTGCAGATGTAATTATACCATGATGATATTCAACATATAAGTGCTGAGGAGAAGATAAAAATCAGCAACATGACTGAAGGTTGGTTATTCAAGTGTTCTATACAATAATAGATTTAGAAACTAATAAATTTATGGATTTATCATAGGTGCAGAGACCCAACCAAACGCGGGAAATGAATCCCAGACAGGTAAATTATTGTTTTATTGATGATTTGTACATATGCGCACAATTGGATATCATGCCTGATATAATTGAGTTAGTGTTTGTTATAGATATCTATATTATGTTACATAATAGACTTTATTTTTTAATCTATTTTTCGTTATATATGATATTTATTTTATTAAATTGAGAGCATATCTTTATACTATATAGATAATCATTTATTATTTAAATATTAACACATAAGTGGATATGATATTTAATCATCTTTTAAAATTAACAATTTATATTGACATGCCATAAGAAATTATAAAATTATTTTATATATTCTTTAAGTATCACAGTAAATCATACTAAAGCTTAAAATATAGTAAGAATAGATTTATAAATAAAAACATTCAGGAGCATATATTATACTTTTGCAGAAGCCTTAGAACCAAGGGCATCGCATACTGAAGGATTACATGAGGGAGCAACGGAATCAACATCGCAAACTGGTCTTGAACCTATGCAAGAGCTTCTTACAGTTCATGGAACTACGCAAGGAGAAAGCAGTGATGCTGTCAGCATTTACACTGCAAGTACCTCGGTATCTGGTAATGGTAAGTTTATAGATTTTAACAATAATATCAAATGTGTATATATGTATACATGAATAATTGCATTATTTTTTAGAATCAAGTTCAAGTAGAGTTAGTGCAATAACTGTTGTGTTACCTTGGGGCGCTCAGAAGGAAACAGTAAAGCCGCAGCAAATAGGAGACATGGATCTAAGACCAGGAGAGTATGTGATGCGTATCCTGTTTGCAGAATTTACTTCACAGGCAGAGAAAAAGATGGAAGCTGTTATGACGGAACATGTAAGTAATCATTGAAATAATTGTTGAAGCAATACTAAATTAAATGCTTTATTTCCAGGAAAAACAATTGTCAAAAGTTTTACAAAGAGGAGAAGATCCACAATTTGATCAGCTCTTATCGGCATTCGGTTCCGTTGCCGAGCATTGTTTGCCATCAATATTAAAAGCACTCTTCAATTGGTATGAACGTCAACTTGTAGATCAAGGCGGTGATCATAAGAAACCTGCTCCTGGGAAAGAAGACCAAAAAGGAAAAAGGTAAAAAAATGAGAAAATAATATATCTTATAAGTATTAATAACAAATACATCTTATAAGTATCATATAAGTATTAATAACAAATACATTATATTCTAGCATTATGTATACAATAGTATCAGGAAGTGTAGAAACAGTGGAGAGAAGCGAAGCAGATCTTTTGCAAGAGCGTAGAGATCTTGCTGTTGAATTTATATTTTGTTTGATGCTGATTGAGGTTTTACGCCAATTACCATTTCATCCTGGACATGAAGATTTAGTAACCTATATCGAAAATATTGCTTTTAAACATTTTAAATACAGAGAAGGCATACAAAACGAACCAAATGCAGCTAATATTCATATTATCGCTGATCTTTATGCCGAAGTAATTGGAGTTTTGGCGCAATCCAGATTTATGTCAGTAAGAAAACGTTTTATGGTAGAACTAAAAGAATTACGAGCTAAAGAGCCAGGTCCTCATACTACACAGAGTATTATTTCGCTATTGATGGGGATGAAATTTTTCCGTGTTAAAATGGTACCAATAGAAGAATTTGAGGCATCATTTCAATTTATGCAAGAATGCGCTCAATACTTTCTTGAAGTTAAAGACAAAGATGTTAAACATGCTTTAGCTGGTCTTTTCGTTGAGATACTCGTCCCAGTTGCTGCTGCTGTGAAAAATGAAGTAAATGTACCATGTTTGAAAAACTTTGTAGAAATGTTGTATTCGACAACATTAGACATGTGTACAAAATCCAAACACAGACTAGCACTTTTTCCATTAGTAACTTGCTTGCTTTGTGTCAGCCAGAAAACATTCTTTTTACAAAATTGGCATTATTTTTTAGCCATGTGTTTATCTCACTTGAAGAATCGCGATCCAAAGATGTGTCGAGTTGCATTAGGTAAATAGATTAAAAATTTTATATATATATTATTTTTCTAAAAAAGAAAAATAAAAAAGACGTAAATATATCTTTTGCATTTATTATATTACAGAGGCTTTATATCGTTTACTTTGGGTTTACATGATACGAATAAAATGCGAGAGCAATTCAGCTACACAAAGTAGACTGCAGAGCATAGTGAATTCTCTATTTCCTAAAGGATCGAAGGCGGTAGTACCGCGAGATACTCCGCTGAATATTTTCGTAAAGATTATTCAGTTTATTGCGCAAGAGAGATTGGATTTTGCAATGCGTGAAATAGTGTTTGATTTGCTGTCTGTCGGGCGACCGGTAAAAATAATTTTAACTCCCGAACGTATGAGTATCGGACTTCGCGCATTCCTCGTTGTAGCTGACAGCTTGCAGCAGAAGGAGGGAGAACCGCCAATGCCGCGTACTATGGGCGTACTGCCAAGTGGAAACACCATGCGTGTTAAGAAGACATTCTTAAATAAAGTATATATATATATATATATGTATAATTGATATATGTAATATTTATGCATTTATTAAACAAAATTATAATTTAATATACTTTTATAATTTAGATGCTGACAGAAGATACTGCACGAAGCATAGGAATGTCTTCGTATTTTCCACATGTACGCCGAGTGTTCGTCGATATCTTGCGCGCGTTGGATGTTCACTATGGCAGGCCTCTCATGATGACCAGTACGCAAAATATGAATAAAGAACCGGACGAAATGATCACTGGAGAACGCAAACCGCGAATAGATCTCTTCCGAACATGCGTTGCCGCTGTCCCACGATTGATTCCTGATGGAATGACTGGTGCAGAATTAGTTGATTTACTGTCTCGTTTGACGGTACACATGGACGAGGAATTACGTGCATTGGCATATCAAAGTTTGCAAACCTTAGTGCTAGATTTCCCCGATTGGCGACAGGACGTTGTGCTCGGATTTACGCAGTTTCTAGCTAGGGATGTACAAGATACGTTTCCGCAACTTGTCGACAACGGTTCGAGAATGCTGTTACAATTGTTGACCAGTTGGAAAAACGCTCTGACAAGTCCTAGCATAAGATCTAAGGAACAATCGGTAGATAATGCACGGGTGAATATACGAGTGGACGTTGGCATCAAGAAGTGCGAATCAGGCCAGGTTTGCATTAATTTTTAATTTTTTTTATTTATAAATTAATGCACATGTAAAATATATATTTCATTTTTTGTTTACACAGAAAATAGAACCCGTGTCCAATATATTCTATTTAGTAGAAGGATTTGCGTTGGTTATGCTCTGTAATTGCCGCCTTTATCCTCGAAGACTGGCTGTTCATATCTTACGTGAAGTAAAACTTTTAATGAAGACTTTAGGTAACTATATTTATACATATTTAATCTATAATGCATTTCTAATTGCAATGCTATACATCTTATATATATATATATATATATCATCTTCAGGAGGACCTGAAGATGATCAATCTGTTATTGATGTGATTGATGCTTGCTGTCCCGTCGTTTTGGAGAAATGTTATCCTATGTTACCACCAGCTGAGAAAGCAGCTGCTGCATCTACGTCTAATGTGGATTTACAATGGATAGCAGACAGAAGTAGTTGCGTTTGGACAGCTGGTAGTATTTTATTTATTGTACTTTTGATATATAGGCTGTGTGTGTGTGTGTGTGTGTGTGTGTGTGTGTATATATATATATGTTACAATATCTTTATATTTCTTTTATATTGCAGGATTTCACGATGAAAACAGTACCAAGAGTTCTTCTTCGCTTAATTTAAATGGAGCCGATCCATGGGCCAGTTGTCTATTTGCTTTTTTGGAAAAAGATAGAGTACTTACATTATGTCCAAATGCTGTTGCTCATTCTTGGCCCATTGTCTTTACTCGTATAAACTCCCTGTTTACAGTAGTGGATCCTACGTAAGATTAAATTTGTAATTAACTTACATTAGACATTTCAATTTTGAAATAATTAAAATTTATTAAATTATGTACAGTCCGGTAAATGACAACCGAGCTTCGTTACTAAGAAGTTCGACAACAGTGAGAAAACCGATAAACGAGAGAGACATTTATATGCACATCTGGAAAAATTATCTGACTTTTGGATATAGAGTTGTGCCACCTGTGCCAAATCCGATTGTTCGATGCGCCAGTCCAGATCTCAGCCTCAGGTAAGTTATATATATAAAAAAAATATAATAAAATTTATGATAGGAGTTCAAATATCATATGTATATCATTACATATTATTATTATTATTATTATTATTTTTTCAATAGAGATTCAATTTAAATAGTGATTCATGCTTATTTATCATTCAATCAAAAATACATATGATTGTGTGCATCGCTACATTCGTTGCAAATATAATTAAACAAATTTATATTTAATAAACAAAAGCACAGTAAAGTGTCTTTCTTAAATATATTTATACTGATAGAAGCTATGCATACAATTTGTATTTACACACAGAATTTGTTAAGATACTCAAATAAGAATGTGAATAATTAAAAGTTCATGTTTAGCAGAATAATATATTAGAGCTTTAAGTGTATTAAAGAAAAGTGAGTCATACAGAATATATAAAATCAATATCACTTGGTATCAATTGGTGTTGAATCATATTTACATTAGTGTCTGTCATTTCATAGAAACATTATAGTTATTCACTTGTCTCAGAAAATGTTATATTAAATATTTTATAGAATTGTGTAAAATAAATTATAGTTTCCTCATTTTATATGTTAATCCTGTACACTGGCACAATCATCGAACTGTTTTTTTTAGAATATCTTTTTAATTAAACACATACAAAATATATCTAATATTATACACAATATATATATAATATCATGCACACCTTACAATGGCGATTTTGCCATCACGTATACTGGCACCAATTCGTATCAAATTCGCGTTTTGCATTCGGGAGCGGGATCCATTTTGCTCTGTCCTCTTCCTCTGCATATACACACTTCGCTTTATTTTTCGCAACACTACATCTCTCGCATGCTGTCTCCTATCGTTCTATGTCTCGTACATGTACATCTTTCTTTCCCTCTCTGGGATATTAGAGTAGTAGACTCTCTGAGCAGTAAATAATGTCTGATACAAGGAGCATTGGTGGTACACTGTATTGCATACTCTAGTGGTCAGCATACGGTGGAGTTTGGTGTGTTGTGCATGAGTAAGGAGTTGAGTCAAAGCCTGGAGAATCTCGGCGGGGCGCAGACCCTGCCGGGTCGGTTTTCTGTACCGTCCATTTCCGGCATCTACACCCGTCATAAGCGTACCAGGTGAGCCTGAGAGATTACTAATCGCGAACAAAAACGACCATGCTTCCTTCGATGTCACCCGGGATTGAACGGTCGTTGGTAATCGCACTCTGTATCTCCCACTGTTGAATCTTTGTCTCTTTTCTTACTCTTTTATATAACGCAATACAGTTTGATATTTTTTTTTTTCTATTGAACTTTCAGCTTCGTGCTCGAGCTTTCTTACCGGCCTAACAATTCTTTCTGTGCGAAATTGCGTATCGCCATCCTTGCCTAGCCTTACGACCGTTCCCGATCGCTTTTTTTCTGATATTAAACTTTGACGGATGTATATTCGAGCACACACAGAAAATTATTAATTTATGAACTGTACAATAGAAAATAATGTAATAAAGTACTTGGAAGTGGTAACACATAACAGTATTGTTTCCGCAGCTCTTCGCCGGACAGTTTATCCGCAGAACGCGGTGATAATAAATCACCGGGCACTAACGCGAGCCCGGCAGCCTTATACAAACTGACTGTACCTTTGTTGAGATGCGAGGCCGTCGACGTCAGGGATGCTGCGGTGCAAGCAATTGGAAAAGTGAATGCCGATGCTTTAAAGTAAGCACATTTCCATATAAAAAATTTTATATGAGTAAGAATAAATTGCAAAATATTTCTTGATTATCTTACGTTTTAACAGAGATTTGATGGAAGAATTGGTTCCTTACATCCGGGAAGCGGTAGATCGGAAACAAGAAAATATGAGACGACGAAGAAGACGGGATGCTTTGAGACTGCAGCTAGTAAGAGTACTAGAATTAATTGCCGAATATGGAACATTCGGTATCTGGTGAGTTATATATTGTTATATATTATTTTATTTTATTTTTCTTTATTTGTTTACACTTTACGAATAGATTTTAAAGAAATCGCTGTAATCTTTTTCCAGCCCAGCGGTTTTAGATCGCGAGACACAATCTTTACACCCTACATTCGTCGAGTACATAGATGGTGCGCGCATTTATTTAGAAAACGAGACCGATAAGGAAGCACCTGCTGTACGAGACATTAAATTGCACTTCTGTAACTTTATCAGAAAAATGATAAAGAGTTTTTCATGTAAGTAATATTTCACTCAAATAATTCTGAATTTTGAAATAAGTAAATAAATAAATAAATATATATATATAATATCTTGTGAATAATTTATTATTTTTTTCATTTATTTTGTTTTTTATTCTTTTAGTGGAGACATGTTACACCTTGTTGAAGAGGGATTTAAGAAGAAATCTGTTCATGCTCTTTGCTAGTTGGGCCGGTGTTTATGGTAAACCGCTTACAAGTACATCATCTATGCAAGAGGAAGAAAAATCTTGCACGGAATTGCAACTCTCAGCCTTGCAAGCTATGAGTGGATTACTCTGTTGTGGATCATGCTTCAATCCTCAATCACTTTCGGAAGAGGGTGCCATTTTATATCAATGGTTAGACTCATTATTAGCCAGCAAAGATGAAAAGGTGAATTAATTATTTTTTTTTCCATATATATCTTTCTTTCTGCAAACATTATTATCTCATTACTTTAAAATTTAAGATTACATGTTAAATGCACAATTATATATAATTAGCAGATAGATATATTACGCATTAAATTCTGACTGAATTAATATTCCATATTCTATTGTATCTAATGCCATATCTTTGTTGCAGATTTATGCACTTGCACGTGAAACTGTCGTATTATTGCTCGAGGGAAATCCGGATATTGGTACGCTTTTGGATTGGGTGGTGGATCGATGTTATACTGGTGCTCCGCAAGTAGCCGACGGTTGTTTTCTCGCTTTGGCAACAATTTTCAGCGCCAGGTATGAGTTAGAAAATTTATATCTTAAATATAAATATATCATAAAATAAAAAAAAATTGCGTTTGTTTTATTCAGTAGAAAAAAACACGACATATATATATATATATATATATATATATATATATATATACATACATATAGCAAATAAATAGTATCAGACATATTTATATCAATGAAAACGTTGGTATAATCATGATATAGTAATAAGACTCAATAAATCATTGTAAATACATTAATGATTTTGTCTTTTTCAGGGAATATCCTTGCGATCACTACACCAGTGTCATCAATGTCACATTGATGAATACAGGATGTCCCCGCGCTCCGGTTCACGATGCAGCATTGCAACTTCTTCAATTGTTGGATCAACGCTTTTTCGGAAATGTGGGCCCGCTTTCAGCTACAGAACTTGAGGCTGGTAAGTAATTTGTTCTTTGTGTATTACAATACTGTGTATATCTATGCACTATAATATATCAATTTTTAACTACCCACTTTTAACACATAGTTTATTCAATTAATTATAATGAAAAGAATTTTTCACTATATCATAATCTTTTATTTATTGTGAGCTTTTGCATTTCTTGACAATTTTTTTGTTGCGCATTGTCAAATTGATTTTGCTCTGATTGTTTGGTCGAATTGCACCTATGCGTGAATTCTGAAACTGCGAAGCTTTATTAAAATGCGAAGCTTTATTAAATTGATCACAAATCTAGATCATCTGTTCAATAATTAACATAATTCATATAGGAAAAAAAAATTTCTCGATCAGATATTCATAGCTATCGAGATAACGACATTATTATCGTTGTTATCGTATTATTATTAATTATTTACCATACTGCTTTCCATGACTCGCCATCTGTATAAGAGTTCCGTTTCTTCTAGTATTTGGACGTTTTATAAACATGCGAACCATTGCTCTGCGAAAATTCTGCCCATTCGCGCAATAAAAAACAAAATTTATTCCGAAGCTCGTGTTGAACAATAAATTGCACATTTGCTGCGCTGGAGTGAGCCATGTTGGTGATTTGTGATATTCCTAAATTCAACAGATATAATAATTATTAACACTGAAATTTTATAAAAATATATCATAGTTAAGAAAGTACAGTTCAATGCATAACAATATAAGTCAAAATCTATACTATGATACAATATAATCATTATATAAATTGTGATTTAGTAAAATATATGAATATAAATAATATAAATATAAAAATATAAATATATGAATATAAATATATGAATATAAATATATGAATATATGAATAATATATGAATATGGATAATATAGTTGTAATTAGTTAATATAGTTGTAATGTACATATTCTTTTACTACAAATGTCTAATTTCGCAAAAGTAATCAAGTAATGTAAGAACATATTAAATTACACTCCATTAATTTATAGAAATATTATAATTTATAGAAAAAGAAATTTTAATTCTATAAAAGATTTAATTGATGAAGCTTTTATTATCTACATATTGATACTTTAAAATAAAAAAATTTTTTATGTGATCGATATTATATTGATAGATTTAATATATTAAATATAAATACATACGTAAAGAAAAGCGATCACTCTGAGAACGAACGATGGCATATTGAGACAGAAGAATGTGCTCGAAACGAGCAGAAGCATTTTCGTAACTTTAGTCTGTGGCATTCTATCTCGAAGAGTCTGAGCTTTATCATTGGAAGCGTTGGATTCTATAGTCAAAGTTCGTCGAACATGGTCGAGCTTGTAAATATTGCGCGCTATTAGGGTATTAAAGATTACTATCATAGTCAGGGGCAAGGCAAACGTCATGATTGTATCGAAGGTATTGTAGGCATTTGCCCAGGTTTCCCAATCATTGTCCAATTCACAGCCAGTCGTGTTCTCATTAGACGTAGAAAACAGAACTACCGGACTGCACACCGGAATCGCTAATACTGTCAGGCTGATCACTACAGCTTTTGCTCGGGTGGCCGTACATAAAGATTGACGACGAAGCGGCCATCTGACTGCCACGTATCTTTCGACGGTAAAAGCTACTATAAGCCACACGCTGAGGAAGCTGCAGAGAGTGCTGAGATAAATGAAAAACTGGCAGAAACCCCACCGATTGAACAGATCTATTTGCACCATATTAAGCCAGACTACAAAAATCGTCACTAAGAAGATGGTGTCACTTATTGCCAGCGCGCCCAAATAAATACTAGATGAAAAATAACGTAGCTTCGTACCGAAGAACACACATACGGATAAACAGTTGCCCAGCAAACCGAAATGTACGAGAATCGGCGTATAATATCGTTGAATGTCTTGTAGGAACATATTAGGCGTGTCTTCTTGTATTACTTCACTTTTATTTTCAAAGCTCATTCTTGAGTCAATTTCAACTTGTCTTCATTGTCGTCATTAATGAGAAGAGGAGCCGAATACGCTTTAATCGCGCCGAACGTAAAGTGCATAACAACTTGCGTCATACACGATGACCTGCAAAAGCATTAGTGTTTTATATTGAAGGAAAGAGAGAAAGAGAGACACAGAGGAAAGAAGAAATATAGAGCATATTCTAAACGCATTTCCTCTCAACCATATATTAAGATTAGAACTGAATTTAGAAACTGAAACTGAGAGTGATCATTTGATATTCCAAAGCCATAATTACAAAAATATCGAAAAACAGAGTTTTTGTAGATAAATAAACCTTTATTTTGAATAGTTAACAAAATTTATATTTTATTGGATATTTGGACTTTTTAATTAATTTTAAATATTTCTATTTAAATTGTTTTTCAATATATTTTATGGAATTAATTTTATATTTTAGTTGTAAATATTTCAATTGTTGATTAATTGTTAAATTTGTTTAATTTGTTCATTAACACAAGATGCATTTTCACACTGTCGACATAATTCTTAATAAATAATAAAAATAAAAGCGACAAGTGGTATATATTTCCATACATCTTTTAATTATTTTATTATTTGATTAAATGAACGCGTTTTGCATTCATATATCATAAAATACAGTATCAGTGTTTACAATAAAAAGTAAATTATGAGGAAATATAGCGCTTATCACGCGCACACGGAAATCCTTCGGATGCTGCAGATACGCTAACATATAGTTAACGAACATATTATTGATTCAAATTATTGTAATAATATATTATATATTAATTGAATACTTTAATATTGTTTAAGATAAAATTTTATTATTATTGAACTAAGACAAAATGTTACTTATTTCAGTAAATATCTTTTTGATACGATACTTTCTCAACAATATCTAATTATAAATAAAACACTTTACAATACGATGATAACTGCGTGAGAAAAATTCTTATCTGTGCTGCAATATTGTGTACTTTTAAAATTCAATATAATTTACTAATTTATTAACTATGACGTATGTTTTTTATGAATTATACTAATAATACTCATTTTGAAATGCGAATAATTATTATAGTATATAAATGAAAGAGAATATTCTTATGATATGATATTATTATTCGATGATGAAAATGATGTGATGTGCTTTACATTTCTCGGAAATACTCGTTAAAAAGTATTTATTTAAAGAAATTGAAAGCTTCAAGTGTTTATAGTTTCCTTTTAGTTCCAATCTTATGTTTTCTTCCTACATAAATCTTACGATATTTAATTAAAAATAAGATATAAAAAATAAACATTCGATATGTCAATTGTGACATAATAGAAATTCTTTTATAATTATTTTTTATAGAAAAAGGATTAAAATTTTTCAATTACGTTGAAATGATTATAAAAAAATAATTATATAGAAATTATTTATAGCAATATTATAATAAAATAATTATAGATCTCTTACATTAAATATCTTCGAGACAAATCTATTTTTTTCTTGTATTTTATATTTTTTTCATAAGTATGCTTTATAGTTTTTTTCAATTCCAATTAGTTTGAAAAAGCTCGTCAAATATTTTTAGATATCAAAAATTAATGCATACCTGTTTATTGAATGTCAATAAATAGATTAATGGTTTATTTGCGATATGCCAGATGCAAATCATTTGTTGGGCTATTTATTGGGCTACTATCCAGATTCTGTAGACACAACTTATGACATGACGCTAAAAGCTGCTTTTAAAACGACGATTTCAAACACTTTTGAACACTTCAAATATATGTCTTACGTATTAGAAGGTCTTATGCAAGATCATACACAGTTTTAATGTTTCGAAAATATATAAAAAATCTTATACGCGCAACACGTGTCATGTTCAGTGCCGGCAAGATTATCAATCACTCATTGATATTATTTAATAAATTTCTCATTTTAGATATTTGTGATACTTCAATTTAATAACACAATTATTTGTATTAACATTAAATATAAATAATTAAGAGAAGATTAGATCATATAATAATCACAATATCTTTCACTAGTTTGTTTTATTTAAAAGAAAAGTAACGATTATGATATTAAGGGCTTTTTGCGATAGAATTATACTTGAAACATTTAGTTTTCGGGCACTAATATTGCACTTTTAGAGAATGTATCCGAGTGCCGTCTCAGCTATTTCTGCTAGATGCCCGACTCATCCATTCCTGATAAAGCTCGGTGCATCCAACATTCTGGCTTCTGCGCATCAAACTAATATAAATTCTCGGTTCTTCACGGCGCATGTTATTCTGCTATATTATGAAAAAAAACTTATATATTACCGCGACTTATAAGTTATCATACTTCTATGACAAAATCATATAAAAATTTTGGCGTATAATCTTTGATTGATAGCATCTCTAACTTAAAATTGATCATCTTCCTTTGCTTGATAAGAATATTTTAATAAATCGATTATTGATTTTCAAAACTTTGAATAAACACACACATTTGATCTTTTTTCATTTTCTTTATCTACTTGATACTAATTTGTGTTTTACTATAATTATATTATAGGCACGAACGAATCAATTGCAGCAATTAAATTTGAATGTATACGATAAAAGTTACAGAGTTTTTAATATAATATATATTTAATATAATTAAATATATTTAAATATATTTAATTTAATATAATTTTAATGTATAAAGACTTGCATCACATTTTATGTATAATATACATTACATTGAATTCTATTGAAAAAAATCTGATACAGGAATATATTAACGTAAAAAGCATGAATTTCTTTTTTTTTTTTGCAAAGATATGTATTTGATTTTTGCAAAGATTATATATTGATGTAAAATATTTTCTGTAAAGTACATTATAATATGTATTTCAAGACATAAAAAAATCGTGCATTGTGTGCAAGTGTTGTAAATATTTCAATTTATTTTGCTATTAAGACAATATAAATATCAATTTGCTAATCAACCAATTAATCAATTAATTGTCAACTAATTATGTGAGTGAAAAGATAAATAATTGCTAATTTCAAGATTCTTAACATGTTTCATCTTAGGGCACAATGACCCTCTTGCCAGCTCCACTGCAACTGTAACTTCCGGACCAGGTCAACAAAGTAATCCTGCAGGTGAAATTTCCTCCGGTGGCACAGTCAGAGGTGGTACATTAGATGTCCTCTTATCGACCACTTATTGCCGCAGTCAAATGTATCTTTCACGACAATTGGCTCAATTACACCCGGAGCTGACGATGCCCATGTTCAGCGGTAAGTGAGAAATCTTTGCATATATTTTTATTAATATATTTTCAATCCCTAATTTTAAAGATTTAAAGATTTATTTTGTAATCTAGTTTTATGGAGTAATATAATAATTGAACATCAGCTAATTATTTTTATAGATAAAATATTAATTTTTATAGTTTTTCCATGTTTTTAGATATTTGTAATGTTTTAAATATAAAACTTTTTTAAATGAAAGACTAAGAATTTTTTAATATTTTTTCAAAATTTTTGATATAATACATAATTCGATATAGTTAAATTCTTGTTTGTATGGATTGATATGTTCCGCAAAATGCAAAATGTAGTTGATTAAACATTTTATTAGTTCTGCAATTCTAATATCATGCATGCCGCGCGTCTAATATATGTTAAATTAGTCTAGTAAATATCATAGCGTAATTAAAAATTTTTTAATTTGTGTAGGCGTGTGGAGTATGTTCTGAATGCTTCAATTATAAAGAAGTATCTCTGCATGATTTACAATTACTTAGAAGTAATTAAAATTTTATTTTTTTTCTATTTAAATTTTTAAGATATAATTCTTATTTTATTTATTTAATATATTTATTTAATATTTATTAATATATTTATTTAATATATTTTATATATTTAATTGTTGTAATGTGAAAACATATTATAGAAACAATGTAAAAAAGAAATATGATAAAGAATACGTTAATCATAAATTATTAGACACGCCCATTGCATAAGAATCTTGCAATTCTTTTTCTCTAAGCTGGTATTATTCTCTCTGTCAAAGATAGCAGTATACATAACATACGATTACTTTAGAGGACTATTATTAATATTATTATATAAAAATATATATATATAAACACTTACACATTTATATAAAGAACACCCGAAGAAAGAGAATCTCTTTTAGATAAAATTTTAAAGCTATTTTTATTATATATATATATATATATATATATATATATATATATATAATTTATATTATAATTTTGTTATAATTTTAATATACAGAATTTTGTGAATGTGTCTAAGACTAAAAATGATTTAAATCGAATTAAAAATCAGCTTGAATGTAATTTATACATTTACATAAAATAGAATACTACCTGTTATGAGATAAAAAATTGTTGTTTTTTTAAAGTTTTGACATATGAAAAAGAATTTGCATTGCAAACAATGCAATTTATTTTACCTTGTAAATAACATGATGCAGTTGGATTACTAAAAAGAAACAAAATTATTTGCTTTTATTATCATAGAAATGCACGCAACAAGAGTCACAAAACATATAGCATCGTGTGATCTTAATAGAATTATTATAGATTTGCATAAACAATCGATTATTCGAATGTAAGGATGTTAATTATGCAGCAATTGTCACATGTCCATGCTCTCATCAATTATCATTCCGGAGGCGTGTCGCATAAATCATATAAACATTGAATTATCGCTGATCTGTTTAACGTCTGTAGAAAAATTTGCATCAAATTAAATTTTATAATTCAGAGTAACCTAGCCTAACGGAAGAATATATTTAGTTTGTTTAATATTATAATGAATAAAATAATAACATCGTATAAAATAGTATAACATATACTATATGATGAATAAAATAATAACATAGTATAAAATAGTAACATATAATACAACTATGCGTAATACAAAAATACATGAAAATAAATCATATAATAGATATCTGTATGATATAAAACAAATTTTTAAAAAATGAAATGTAAGTTTAATTAATAGGGTTGAAGGATTGCTATTCAACACATGTTCAATGTAAATTTTAATTATCTGTCATAAATCAATCATTTATGCGACAGATAATTCAAATTTACATTGAACATGTGTTGAATAGCAATCCTTCAACCCTATTAATTAAACTTACATTTCATTTTTTTAAAATTTGTTTTAATATAATTACGAGATTCTCGAATATATTTTCATATGTACTGCAATGAATGATATCATCTACTACTAAATTTTATTCTATTTTATTATATATGTGTATACAGCGGGAACCTAAATTCGCGATAAATATTTCAATGATAAATTCTTTGTAACATTTTAAAACGAAAATGTCAAGGATATAATAATTTTCAAATGGATATAATAATTTTCAAATGGAAATAAATAATAATTTTCAAATGGATATAATAATTTTCAAATGGAAAAAGCTCACAAATGACAGGGCTAAGATTTCGCACATTCAGAGATGGCAAAATGGCTAGTGATAAAGGTGCTCCTAAATGCTTTTGACATTAGTGAAAATATTCAAGAATTTTATTAAAAATTTATTTCTATTTATCCATAATGAATTATAACAGTTTAAAATGTTTTTATTCAATAATTTTATATATCGATATATATATATGTGTCAACTGTCATATTCAGCTTTCACTGAGATTGGTTGACATAATTATTTAATATATACATATTAAAATATTAAATAAAAACGTTTTAAACTATTATTGTTATAATTCATTGTATATAAATAGAAATATATTTTTAATAAAATTCTTGAATATTTTCATGATAATTTTATTAAAGTCAAAAGTGTCCGATTTATCATTACCAGAAAATTAAGAGAAACCGTGACCTTTCTTACGAATTTAACCTTTTAAATACAATCATCACTTTTAATGAGTTGTGAGACGTATCAAGTTGCCTCGTTTACATAATGGATTGCTGTTCTTTGTTTTAATTTTGTGACGCATTCTAACATGCATCCTTGCCATCATTCATTTTAATGGATGTTTAAAAAGCATGAAGAACTGGTGTGGCACGCGCGCTTGCGAGAGAAAAATTTATGCAACAATAATCCAAAATAATTCTATTACGCGAATTATTATCTTATATATTTCCGGAAAATTGGTTACATTTTGTTTTATTGTGTTCGAAGCGGCGAATATTTTGTTTCTGAAACGATGTAATATAAAATTGTAATTTTATCTCGTGAAATTCTATATATAATAATATAATATGTAATATATCTATATATAATAGGTATCGCTTGATAACAGCTTATAATATAAGAAAAAAGAAGTTTTATTTTATTCAAAGAAAAAAAATCTTTTTATTCGTATTTTTTTCAATAGTTATATTTTTTAAAGAATTAGTATAAATTTAATAGGCAGTTAATCCAGATATTTTAGACAATATCTCTTTCATTAAAATTTCTGAAATATAGGTATGTGTTCAGAAAGATTAATCTCATTATAGTATTTGATAGATTATATAATTTTATCCTTTTATATAATTTAATTTATAATTTAATTTATGCTTTGATTTTAACGCGATAAAACACATTTTAAATTATTTATAACCAAAAGTATATAGACGAAATAGCTGTATATAATAACAATGAAAATAAATGTAACGTAGATATAATAGAATTTGTTCAAAACAAAAGCTAGTATCAATCATAAGCCCTCTCTCAACTTACGGCAAATTGAAATTTGGATGTATAAAGTATAAATTAATGAAAGGATTTACTAGATTACAGTTAATCATTTAATGGAAATTACTCTAATTACTAAGCTAGCATATAAGAGAAAATTTATATTAGCCGATCAAATAGATTTATTTTATTTCGTACAATCTGTATTATATATAAAAGGGATTCTATTTCTGTAGAAATGAAAAGGACAAATATTTATATTTTAGAGATTTTGATTTTAAATTTAAGTTATAAATTAAAACAACAAAATATACATATATATATATATATATATATATATATATATATATATATCATCATGTTTTACAATTCTTTTGCTTTTTATGTAATATGGTTTTTTTGCGACTATATTGTATATATAAATATAAATATATAAATATATATATATATATATATATATATATTTATATATATTTATATATATTTATATATTATATATATGTCAATTGTTATATATGATCTCATATTTTTTAAATATGATATTAAATAAATGTAATGAAAGAGTAGGTGGCATTATTGAAACAACTGCAGATAATTGCAGGTAGTCATCGAAATAATTCCATGTGATTTTACGCGTACACACATGTTCTGAAAACTGTAATATTATTATTTATATGTATGAAAATAACAAATGTTCTTCCACATCTTGTTATCTCAAATAGAACGTTACATCAATATAAGCATATTGCATATGAAGCAATATTGCAAATATGTTCAATCATCACATAATCGTTTAATACGAATTAATTCAATGTAAAGTGAAAGCAGGTGAGAGAAAGAAAGAGAATAATGTTATTTGCATTAAATTTATTCAAGCTGCAAAACAACTGGCATTGTATATTTAAATGTTCACACATATTATTAGAAACAATAATTAACAGATATATTTGAATATGAATTATTGAATTTATAATATGAATTTTTAATATGAATTTTTAATAATTGAATTTATATTTAATAAATAAAACAGGAGAAAAACTGCGAGAGAAATAATATAAATTTACAATAATATAGATTTATATTATGTCGTAGGTACGGATTTATAACAAAGAGGGTCAATGATAGCTTAATATAATACCAATTAAATCGAATAAGAGGAAATATGGTATTAAAATAGTATTATTGATGTAATTTGATGCGATTTTCATTTGATGTGGTTTTCATTTAATATCTCGATAATTCATATGTTTCAGAAATTACACATCGATTTCAAACAGCCCGTAGAGAAGTTCGGCAATTACTACTACAATATTTGCTACCCTGGTTGCATAACATGGAACTTGTTGATCCTAATGTACCGCCACCATCTAATCCGTTGAGTTATTATCAGGTGAATATAACTCAATGTCATAATCTCTGGAATAATAGCATTGAAAAAAATTATAATTTGAAATTAAATGCAAGAAATATTTAAGAAAATCAATAATAAAATCAGTAAAATGATTATATATTAAAAAATTATCACTAAAAGTGATATTTTTATATTGCAATATAATGCTATCATTCGAAAGCTAAAGTACTGCGAATTAATCCATATATTTTAGCCATATTTTAGGAGAGATTGAATTGGAATTTGTCATATTTTAAAGATTACACGTTTTAATTATTGGAAAATTGATGAGATAATCGAACTTTGCAAACTTTTAATCAGACAACATTTCTCATGGTACATAGCGAATATAATTCTTTATTCAAAAACACAATATAGCAATTTTTAAAAACAAAATTATTTTTTGAAAGAAAGTATTACACGTGTTATGAAGGTGAAATTACTTCCGATATCCTTGCATGAGACGAGTTCTACTTTTCACGATAAATTAAATTTTTGTTATACATATTTTGTTGTACATATCATAAATGATTTAGTTTCAACAAAAGAGCAAAAAGAAAATTTGGAGGCGCCGGGTATCGATCCCGGTACCTCTCGCATGCTAAGCGAGCGCTCTACCATCTGAGCTACGCCCCCGATGATATGATTCTGTAGTAAGATCAATCAGATTCATAAAAGTGATCTACTTTCAGAGAAAGGATCAAAAAAATAATGTTGGAGGCGCCGGGTATCGATCCCGGTACCTCTCGCATGCTAAGCGAGCGCTCTACCATCTGAGCTACGCCCCCTGTAATCTAGATCGCGGACAGGATCGTTTTGAATCGCGATCGTGATCCACTTTTAGTAAAAGGATTCAAAAAGTGATCTTGGAGGCGCCGGGTATCGATCCCGGTACCTCTCGCATGCTAAGCGAGCGCTCTACCATCTGAGCTACGCCCCCTGATTATATTTGACTTTAATGATCCTTTTTGAATATTATGAATGACCTATTTTTAGAAAAAAGCTTAAGATATTATTTTGAGAGGTTTCTGGTATTTATCTTGCTGCTTTGCATGTGCAAAATGCGGTACATAATGTTCCATAATATACTTGATTTTAATGATCATTTTGAATTCTGATTGATGAGAGAAGCTTCAAATATGATGGTGAAAGCTTTTCACGCTTATCCTAATGCATCACTCATGTAAAATGAACGAAGTATGCCATTATAATGTATATGATCTTAATGATTATTTAGAAAGTTATAAGTGATTTATTTTTGACTAGAAATTTTAACCATCCCTCTTAGAAATTTTTTTGCGAAAAAAAATCTAGGACTGTTATTTCCTTTTATTTACTTTATGTAAAATTGATGTTTTATCACCTTAGATCGATGTTTTATCACCTTAGTTTTGACCTTTTATCACTTTATGTCGATAATTTTTATTCGGCAATTGTACATATGGGCTACACAGATATTGATTTTCAATTAGAACGGATTAATTTTGTCAAGTTGAAAATGAATTGGAATTTTTTTATAGCTTGATTGGCATTCAAGGAACTTGGCACAGCTTTATAAATATAATTATTATACAATATTTGTCAAATTCATCAAAGCAGACAATAAAAAAAATAAAATAGAATTGCATTCTGATTTTAATCTGATTAATTCACAAACACGTGAGCGCAAAGTAGCAATTTAAAATAAAATAAATCCTAATAATATAACCCTTTACAAAAAATATTGTTTTATGAGACAAACACTATAGAAATTTAATTAAAATATAAAAAAATATATCCAGGACAACAAAAAAATGATCATATAATAAAAAATTTTAAGATTAAAAGATGAGAATTAAAAGATGAAAAGTCATATACAAAAATTTATGGCAAAATACATACATATTCATATAATTAAAAATATAGCCAGTATTTTTAATAATAATATATGATAAAATTTTTCAATAAAAAAATTGATTGACTGAAATTGATATATATATTCTACAACTATTAACAATTATAATAATGGTCATCTCAATTTCATTAATCATAGACTTAATATTGATATATATAAGTTTTTTAATATTAAAAATACTCATTTTTTACATAAAACCTATAGGAATTGAAAGCTAATGTGTATTCAAGATCTAGTTTTAAATATCTTGCAAGTATTAATAATTATAATGTGATCTTTTTGATTATCATAATTGGAGGAGACGTTCAACAGTAGAAGATTTCACATGCGATAAATATCGAGATTTATTTCCAAGATATCTCTTTTTGATAATTTCATTTATCACACGATATCATTGACAATCGTAATCATTCTTATTATCATGTCAAACATCGGGGACGTAGCTCAAATGGTAGAGCGCTCGCTTCGCATGCGAGAAGTACCGGGATCGATACCCGGCGTCTCCAAGATTTCTTTTTATCACGCGCGATTATCAATGATCGTAATCTTCGTCTTTATTTTTAGCTTAAGTGCGAACAACATAATTAAAAGGATAAAATGATTTAAATAACGTAGAATGCAGTGCGTCAGATTTTTAAAAATAGAATCCATAGCTATTCAAATAATTTAATGGGAGAGAGAGCATAACACACCCATGTATTTGTTTTCCATTCGAACCGTTCGATTATTAATGATAATAATAGCTTTAATCGATAGTGAAAGAGTCTAAGGGAGAGGGAAATAATTCAAATGGTTATCAAGAGCATTCGCTTTGCATGCAAGCGTTATTGTAATCGATTTCCAATATCCGCAGCTTTCTTTTGATACTTTCACAATTGTCAACAATAATATCATGATATACAAATGATATAATGTTAATGCTATTCTGTTACATTTTGCAAACAAATCGTTAAAATTTAATGAGCTAATTTTCCTAGTAACGTAGGTAGAATTTAAGTCTTTATATCAAGTTGGTCGGTGATTTTTTTATCCAGCATCTAAAAAAAATTACGAATTTTTACTCTGCGCCATGTTTGTTAAAATATTTAATGATTTTAACAGTATTACACAAGTGATGTAACACGCGGAGGAACACGTAGAGAAGGCTGGGGAAGCGCAGAAGCTACGGAGATGGTGCTCAACAATCTCTTTTACATCACAGCGAAGGTACTTAAAATGCTTCAGTCGCTTATATCACGTTAAGTATTATTTAAACCATCGATTTAAATATGTTGCAGTTTTCTGATGAGCATCCTAAAGAAACAGAAGAACTTTGGGCGACTTTGTGCGGTTGCTGGCCGAACAATCTCAAAGTTATAATCCGCTATTTGATTATCATCTCGGGTATGGCACCTCAAGAGCTCCTGCCATATGTAAGTGAAACTTTTAAAATCATTTTACTAGCAAAGTGATGATAGAGATGTAATCTTTGAAAGTGTTATTTACCAGACGAAATGTTATTTATCAGGCAAAACGTGTGGTATTGTATCTGGCACGAGCTCGTCCGGATCGTCTCGTCGATGAAATGATGACGGAATTAGAAACGGTCGAGACTCTGAATTGCTTGATTGAACGGACGGAAACACCACCCTTTTATCGACTCACCAGCATGCGAAAAGCCTCGTCGCATAGCGATGCTCCCGCGGCCGATCCTGCCAATCCCCGTGATCTTGGCGTCGAGAAAGGCACCATCCATACGAAAAGACATTCCGGAGAAGATCCCGTCAAAACCGGGTAAACAACTAAGTCTACTAAAATCTGTTATTTGTCATCATCGAAAAATTTCATTTTAATTTTCAAAAATCTATGAATAAATATCTTTAGTTATTTTAAAAGTATAATCTTTTTAATTTAATCTTTTGTATGATAATACGAATTTATGGGTAATATGGTCATGACATTTATATTTTCTCCATAGATCCAAATCTGATACTGCGCTGCGAGCACTCGCGGGGTTTCAAACTCCCAGGACAGAAAAGACGAGGACTGCAAGCGGTCCGCCAGTTCTTCCAGATGATCTATCAACTCCGACTACGGAAGCCGAAGTACGTTCAATTAAAACTCGATGATATTTAACATTATAAAGGATTATAAATTTATATATGGAAAATTTCACTTTTCAATTACAAAAGTTCGAAAAGATATTAACATATTTTTTATAACAATCTAACATGAAAAATTAAACTATTTTTAGTTAACAACTGACGAATCGTGTTACGTCAGTCGTAATGGGCCCGTTGGAGTGAATGGAAAAATGCCATGTGTTGACGAAAAATTCGATATTCCTCAACCACATCCATTACCGATGCCAGAATATGGCGGATATTTCGCTCCTTTAACTGAGTACTTACCTGATAGTTCTCAACCAATAAGCGGGTTCCACAGGTATAATTTCAATATTTACATTTTCACTTATGAACTCACATTATAAACAATATTGATAATCCTTTTGTCACTGTAATTCTTAGATGCAATATCGCCGTAATGTTACTCACGGATGTAGTCGTCGATGGAATTCAGCTAGATTGGGCCATACACGTTCCTTTGATGTTGCATATAGTCTTTCTCGGTCTGGACCACTCGAGACCGTTGGTGCGAGATCATTGTCGTTGTCTGTTGCTGAATCTATTAGTCGTGCTCGGCGATCATCGCGATCATCTTGGCGTCGCTCGCGTGCTTCTCGCTTCCAAGACGGAGCAATTGGGATTGGGATTATCTACACCAGCGTTGCCAGTGCTGGATCACAACTTTACAGAAGTGGATCCAGAATTTGATAGTTATCTATATGGTCCTCCACCAGCCCCGCCACCCACGACTCCGCCATCATCGTCTTCGCCTCCACCTTCTTCGCCACCACCGCCGCCACCTCCTCCGCCGCCGCCTCCATTACCTTCTTCAGTTGCGGATGGTACACCTACTCATTCATCTTTATCAAATTCAGCATCGCGAGTGCCATCATCTATGCCGCTTGATTCTTCAGCGTCTCCACCGGCACCTCCACCACCTCCTCCTCCTCCACCTCCGCCACCATTACCTTCTTCAGTTGCGGACGCTGCATCTACTCATTCATCTTTATCAAATTCGACATCAACCCCGCCAATATCAATGAATCATGCGAATTTATCGGCAGCAGATGACAATAAAGATTATGGGAATTCTCATGCGTATGGTAAGATATATATTTTTAAATAAATTAAAATTTGGTTTTATCTTAGACTTCCACATAAAAAAATAATAAAGTAAAAAAATTTGTAGAATCAACAGTATGCTGGTCAACTTCGGGTGGAACAGCAACGAACACAGTACCACCTGTAATTGTAACGCCGGAGGACGCCAACAATTGGACCGGCCCTCAACCGGGTCCCAATATGCCAATACAGGACGTTATTAAATCCTTGATTAATTTTCTAGCATCTAGGTACATGTAATTAATTATGTTAATTGCTTATTATAATTATTTGAGTGAATAGGATTTTAATTCAATATCCAATATTCAATATTCAATTTTCCAATAATAGAACAAATCAACCGCTATGGAATTATGAAGACATGACTGCCAAAGTATGGTGGGTCCGTAGTGCCGAGCAACTTACAGTATTATTACGACATGTGTTACGTGTCTTTAGAGACTCGTTGCCTCATGCACTAGTCAGTCAAAGATGGGCGCAAACGGCGCTGCAATTGGGTCTTTCTTGTTCATCCAGACACTATGCGGGAAGATCTTTGCAAGTTTTTCGTGCATTACGCGTTCCTATAACGTCTAGGATGTTGTCCGATATTTTATCTAGGTTGGTGGAAACAGTCGCCGAGCAAGGCGAGGATATGCAGGTACCGTTAAATATTTTCAAACATATAATTTTAAATTTTTAATGCGAACAAATCTATATATATTATATATATATTTTTTTTTGTACATCAGGGATACGTAACAGAATTGTTACTAACACTGGAAGCAGCTGTCGATTCACTCGAATCGGACTTTAGACCGCTCGATTTTATGAAAGAGATCTTCAAATCGACACCTAATCTAAACAATAAGGATCCCGTGTCGGGAATTGTAATTGGAGGAAAGCGCAGTCCAGGAGGGAACGGTTATCCAATTGGACCGCACATGTTCTCTCATTTAAATCAAGGTGGACATACAAGGAGCACTAGCTACTCAGTCAGTTATTGTATGAAAAGATCCAGCGGTGGCAATTCTACGGCTAATGATATGAAAGGTTATTATATAATATGATTTTTATAGTAATCACATTGCAAATTCTCTCTCTGTTAGATATAGATTAAATTTTAGTTATAATTTATAGAGATTTTAAAAGAATATTTTTATTGCAGAAGTTGACAACAGAGTCGGTAATAAATATCCCAATTCGAATCTGTCAAGATCAAGATCAGCACAGTCTTTGAAATTGTTGGGTGACTCGGCGACGCAAGACGACAAAATGACGATATTAGCGCAACTATTTTGGTTAGCAGTGTCTCTGCTTGAATCGGATTACGAACATGAGTTTCTTTTGGCGTTGCGGCTTCTTAGTCGCGTGTTACACAGACTACCACTTGATCGACCAGACGCCAGAGACAAAGTTGAGAAATTGCAACAGCAATTACGATGGACTTCATTTCCTGGTGTACACGCGCTTTTGTTGAAAGGATGCACTAGTCCGAATACATATGAACCAGTCGTTACACTACTTTCTCAATTTACACCTTTATTGGATTTACCAGTAGTCGATCCCACGCAAAGCCTTGCGTTTCCAATGAATGTTGTATCGTTGCTGCCGTATATGCTGTTGAATTATGAAGATGCTAACGAACTTTGCATCAGAAGCGCCGAAAACATTGCGCAAGTAAGACTCCATTCATTAATATTTTATTCATTATGTGAGCAAATAAAAGATATTGTAATTATACAAACGCATACATATACTATTGTAATTAACTGTTGTATTATGCTGTTTATTATCTCTTCTCTTTCTTATTTTTTTTTATAGGTAAGCGCAGAAAAGGGGAAGAAATTGGAGAATCTTGGTACAGTCATGACATTATATAGCCGGCGTACCTTCAGCAAGGAAAGCTTCCAATGGACTAAATGCGTGGTGAAATATCTTTACGATTCGTATGCTCATCTTAGTTTCAATATGCTTGCTTTTCTTGTGGAAGTTCTAGAAAAGGGTCCGAGCAGTGTGGCATTGTCAGTACTCAGTATTATACATTGCATGTTACATTATGTGGATTTGGCGTCTCCAGCTGCACAACCCATTAATACTGAACTTTTGAGAGTGATCTCTAAATATGTCGAGGTAAAACTGTAAAATATATTTAATTAATTTTATAATCACGCGTGCAAATAATACAATATCAATTATAAAAATATGTAATATAACAATCAACTATGACGTATGTAATTTTGTGTGTAATTGATCATTTATTAACATTTTAGGGTACTCACTGGAAAGAAGCGCTTAAAATCTTAAAGCTTGTAGTGACAAGATCGTCGACACTCGTAGCACCACCGACATCGATGCATGGTTCATCCTGGGATTCTTCATTATCGTCACCACATCCTAGTTTCACTGATACAGAGATATTTACGAAAAAGGAGCTACCGGGTAAGTCTATCTTTATATAAATTAATTAAGTATTTATTTTTCTTGGATGTATTATCGATTTTAATTTTTTTCTTTTTGCAATGCATGTATGGCACGGATGATTTATTATTCAACACTCAGGTTGCGATCAAAATAACAATAGTGATAGATTATAATTGTTTTATAAAATAAAAATGTAAAGCAATATTTTTCTAAGAGAAATTTAACTTATATTTCTCGAATTACATTATATTTATCTAAAGACATTATTTATGTTTCTCCTATGTTTATCATTACTTGAATTTTTAAGATATATGTATTTGAAAGCATTTTCAATAGAATTAGAAAGTTTCATAAGAGAAAAATGCATTAAAGATTATTTTTCTACATTATCATACATATAGAAATATAGAGATGTTAATCATTATTAACTCTTTAATTATTTATAATTTAGACTTTGTTCATCTTCTTTTTACAAATAGGAAGAACCATGGACTTTACATTTGACTTATCTCAAACGCCAGTAATCGGTCGACGTTGGTTAATTCGTCAAGGTACTGAAGAGAAATCAATTAGTTCACCACATTGTTCCTTATCTTTATCCCCGGCTGACAATAGCGCCATCGCAGGATGGAAGAGACCTTGGATGTCACAGGTACAGTTAGTTAATTAATATGATATAATGTATACATATTGTATACAAATATATTGAATTATGTAAAATGTACAAAATTAAAATTGTTCTTTAATAGGGTCGTGTCAGGGAGTGTTTAGTAAATCTGTTGACAACGTGTGGCCAGAGAGTTGGGTTACCAAAGAGCCCATCGGTATGTTTTTATTTTGCGATTCATTTTTCAGTTATTAATTCAAGTAGTGTGAATGTTCCTTTCCTATGGTCTGTGGATTATATACCTTACCAAAGATAATTGACTCTCATTATGTACCCCTTTCTAGGATGAGCACATTAGTTCAATGACATTGTATAGCAAGGTAAAAGGTCATTTTTAAATGCAATCAGCACACATCCACATTGTTATTCACAATAGTACAAAATATTTGTATTTGTAATTAATTGCAATGTTTTATGAATCATATTTCCACGCTTCAATTAGCTTCATAAAAATTTTGGTGCACTGTTGCAGGAACAAAAAAAATATATTTATACATGTTAGGGTCTTATAAAGTAATAATAATAATGTAACTATCCAACACAGACATCTGAGATCTATTATCTCATAACACTTTGTCGTTTACAATTATGCAAACAATAATCCATGAGATAGAAAATATTACATATTTTTTATTTGTGATTATTGCTATATAAAATCGTTGAATGTATACGAATGAAAATCATTAATTAAGTTACAAATAGATAGAAAGGCTGTAAATTGAACAAATTAGTTGGTCTGGTTGTGACAATGTATATGTAAATATTGACACAATCCAACAATCAATAATCATTTGTGGCATACTTAGTGATTTTCTCATAAATATTGTTATTTGACGACAATGTGTTATATTAATACAGTTGCTTTGATATAAAATAATGTTTCACTGTTTGTAATTAATGTATGTTATTATATATGCAGGTTACTCCATTATTATTATATTATTATATTAGTTGTTAACTCTTTAATAATTTAATGATAAATCATTATACATAACTGATTTTTACTTTTTTACATTAAATACAAATTTAAGTTTTGTGCTATTTCTCGATTCATAAAAAACCTATCTTTTGATATTAAAATTATATATTTTTTAAAATCTGACAAAAACAAATAAGTAGAGCATTCTGCATATATAACTAGTAAGACACATATATGCACATTTGCTAAATATCTTGAGCAAACTCACGTAGTCATTTGGAATTGAGATATTATATTCAAGGCAATTACCAATTGAGATATTTAATTGGAAGCAATAAAATATAAGTGCATATTGTAATATTTAATCATTTAAAATTTTTTTCTTTTGAACCAATAATGTAAGATATTATAATTGTTGATTTTGTATAAAAAATTGTCACTTATATATATTTGCTTCTAATGTCTGCAATTTATTTCTTTATGTACATATATTTTTCATGTATTATCATTAATATTATCAATAATATTTTTAATTTAGGTTATATTCAGTCAAAGTTCGGATTTGATGGAAAGACAATCATCCATGGCCTCATCAACGGAAGAGGTTTCTGGTGCGAATAATGATCTGAGCGGAGGATCTAGACGGGATGACGAGCAATTTGGCGTATTCAAGGACTTTGACTTCCTTGAATATGAGAGCGAAAGCGTTGAAGTAAGCCATGATGTTTTATTTTAATTTCTGATAATATAAAGAATACTAATTCAATCTCTTCCTGTAAATCTTTACAGGGCGAGAGTACGGATAACTTCAATTGGGGAGTTCGACGTCGGCCTCTTAGTGAGGGAGAAGAACGAGAACCCAGTTTACGACAGTTCGAGGAAAGTTTAAGTGAAAAGACACCATCATCTAGCAAACATACAACACGGGTAAATATATAAAATTAAAAAATAATTTTTACTTTATTGCACATTTTATAATGTGTATCCTATTTTTCTTTTCGAAATTTTTCTTATTCATATAACTTTGTATATAGCGTGGTGTGACCGAAGAGTCATCGGACGATGAAGCCGGATCGGAATCACCATTGGATGAAGTCCCAGGAGGTGTATCCGGAACAGGCCAGGAAGCAAACAGCATCCCGGGAATGTTCCCGCCGTCTTCTCTGTCATTGATACCTAGTCGTACGCGTCATGATTCATCCACAAGGTCTGACACATCGTAAGTTTCTGTGTGAAAAATTTTGGAAACGTGTATATTAATCAATTCATTCGAACTTATTCACTACAGTGGCTCGAGTGCAGGAGATCTTGGCGATGTAACACCTTGCAACGCATCGCCTAATTTGTCCGCATTGATGCCGTTTCGACAGGTTGTACGAGACGACGCTGAAGAGATCTGGAGACAGCAAATTCAAAGTCTTATTACTCAAGCTCCATATAATACTTTAAGTTTCTTTCAATTGCTGAGTAAGATCTTGAGAGTAAGTAAAAAAAAAATATGAGAATAATGAAAAGTGAGAAACGCGTGAAAAAGTGTTATGAAAATTAATGTTAAGAAATTTTCTTACAAAACATCAATCTTCATTTGTTGCCATTTTTTCCGTAATAAAAATTATTAGAAACTGATCATATTTCATGTTTTTAGGATGTGAGCAGCAAATCTGTTGGTCTAACGCGCGAGGCGAGCGCTTTACTCTGCAACGGCAGCCCAGCTTCATCTCATCTGGGTTGCCATTTATCTAGTCATGCTGAACTGCTGAGTTCAAAAGCTGAACCACCTCTAGTCTGGTTCTCGGTGACTATATTCGCCAATCAGCGGTTAAACGAGACACTACGTTTTGGAATGCTAGAAGTGCAGGAACATCTGGAGACGTTTCTTGATAGGAAAGATCATGCCACAGAAGTAAGTTTCACATTTCATATTTTCAATGATTATTTAAAACCAATAATCATGATATTTGTTTTTTTTCAGTGTTTAGAGGCAGCTAAAGCAACCGCTAAACTTCAGGCGTTAGGCGATAGTCATACTACAGAAGCGGGCGTTGAAGAGATGCTGTTGGATCTCGGCAGAGCGCTCTATAAATTGCATTTTCAGCTTCTATTGTTAATCGAAGCATCGAATAAAATGCTAGGAGCATTAATGATTGCCGCTAGAAATGTACAGATTCCTCTGCAGGATCTGTCTATCGAAATTGCCACTATGAAAATAGCTTTGAGTAGAGCGCTCGAAGAAAGTACCGAGAGTGAACGAGGAACACCTACTCCAACACCCAGTCCTAGTCCATTGCCTGGTACTGGAGCCGTGGAAGAAGTTGCCAGAGTCGCCGAACTTTTGAGAAATGCACGATGGTGCCCGGCATTGGAAGCTGTTAGACTGCACAGGGCACAATGGCCCGGAGATCCTTTTCATGATGACGATGACGTGACAACCGCCGTTAATATGTACTGCAAATACATAGGTCAGGATAGATCAGGTGAGTTTAAAACTACGTTACATATTTTTAAATAATTCAAACAAGAAATATGACAATAAGGAAAATATACACATGATTTTAATGTGAAAAAAAAAGATAAATATAATAACACATGATTTTAATATGAAAGAAAGATAATTATAAAAGATAATTATAACATTTTTATATGATATATACTTGCTGTTAAATTTTTAGATATTTACATAATTTACATTTTTTAATACAATAAGTAAAATAAATGTTGACTTGTGATATTTTGCATATCAATGTTTTAGACATATTCGTAGTGACAAGAAAAGATGACGAGATGTCAGAAATATTTGGCAGACTGATGGAAAGCCTGTTTGAGGTGCTAGCGGCTGTGACAGGATTGGAAGCGTCCACGAAAGCCGCGCGCAATCAACATGACCATTCTAATCACTCTAAAACCGACTGTTAATATGAGCTTTAATGATATAGTATTATCGAATCGTCCGTTTCGATTAAAGTATATGTATACATATTTAACTATCGTACATATGTGTCTAAGTATCTTGTATACGATTGTAGGTAAATGTATGTATCACGAAAAACTTTCTTATATAATTATGGCGAATACATGAATTCTGCGTAGAGACGAATTCATTGTTTTATTTTTTTTTTTAACGCGGAGAACGTGGTAAATTGTTATCAATATAGATATAAGTTCGGCAAAATAAATTATCGAAATCTCGAAAAAGTTATTTTGAAATTCATCAGCCTATTAAAATATTTAGTCAAAATGCAAAAAAAGCGATCAGTATATAATATATGGTCTGCGAAAGAACTTCAGTTCGAATCTTGTCAAGATGTGACACGTTTCGTGAGAAGATTTATCGATTCCGCAATTACTGCCGCGATTAAAATTGCTGCTGTCATGGTTCGTTAACCTTTATGTGTCAATATAATAGTGTATATATATATAACTTTATATATAATTTCTACATGCTTTTATATGTTATCATTGAAACGATATTTCGTATATATATATCGTATATATAATAATGTCCGAATTATTGTGCAATATTGTCTCACAAGAAAATAGATTGGCTTAATATAAATGTTAATAAGATATTATCATTATCAATTATATTATGTAATTGAATATATAATATATAGGTCAATATTATGAAAATTATTTACATCAGAGAAAACTATAAATTTTCTAATCGTCACACTTCTATTGATCGCTTTTAATATATACTCAGGATTATCAATCCTCGCTCAATAACTCTAGAACAAAATGGCCTACATGTGGACAAATCAACGTGCGAAACGGTCTACGATGTGTGAAAGAAGAGATGCTCAGATGGAACCAATTACCGGTTCAGTTTAAAATGGAAATTGATCGTCACGAGAATAAAAACGAAACGAATGCATTTTATTAATCTTTTTTGTAGGCTTTGCGAAACTGGATGTTTCATGTAGACTTTATCGGTCTTAATAGAGAAGGAACCGCCGAATTTTATTTGTATCACGTTCTTTGGAGTATTCCTACACCAGCATATCCGGAGCCATATGTGACTGTCAGTGTGTTCTTCTGCATCGCAGCAAGTCGCGTGCAGCCACCGCACTTTCCAGTTGACGTTAGTTTGTTATGTATATTTTCAGCTCTTTCCCTTCTCTCTCGCTCTCTCTTGTACGCAAGATTTACGCAAAGATTTCGACCGAGAACAAGTAGATCTGGATAATATTGCGTTTTAATACATACTCTATTGCAGAATTCAAATATAACGCAATATAAATATTTAAGATAGAAGTTGTGAGAGATATATCATATTTATACAAAGTTGTAAATATCTAAAGTATAGAATGTTAGCCAGATTTTATGTTGCGCATTAAATGATAGATCATATCCTTTTAAACATAAATAACTTTTTTAACAGGTGACATATGTCTTTGAAGGACATCAATTTGTGCATCGGTTGGATATAATCTTTAGACCAAAATGGCTCTATGATATTCTTGATATAAAAACCATGTTATTTAAAACTTTCACATTTTGAAATCTTTGTGTATATAACTATTTAATATTTGAAATTAAATATTTCTAGGGAGATGTATATTTTTCTATGAAAGAGTTCTAGAATTATAAAACTTTATTAAATTAATTTTCATCTATGATTAATAATAAATAATAACTTTTATCCTTTCGCATTCTCGAAGTTTAATTGCAAACTAGTTCATTCACAATCTAATTCGTAAAGAAAAATTATATTTTCTTTTCTCAGTGTACGAAAAAAATTCTTATGAAAATTAATAGTGTGCTTTTCTCTCTCGAAAAAAGATACAATTTAATTAAAAAACCTGCATTGAAAAAAATCGTAATTATACATCCAAGATATCATACGTAGTGCGATACCTCCGATACAAGTAGCACCGTGGAACGAGTGCAGTTTTTCTGAAGAGATTTTTAAGCCCTTGTGCACCGTGCAGAATGTCGTAAAAGTAAGAGTGTCGGATTTCCGCGAATCGGGCACGCGCCGTTGCCGGCCGCAATCTGGTCCAGCACCGGACGTCGACTCATTCCGTACGGTTAAACAATAAGAGCAGGTGATACTCCCATAACAGACTATGCATCACGCACTGTTGTCGTTCTCAATTGCATTTGATTTTTGCGAACGCCGCTTTTTTTGCACTTGAACATTTAAAAAGAAAATTACACAACATCGCTGCAATTTATAGAACAATTATAAAAATCTCGGAGATTGAATATCTCATAAGAAAATATTATTTTATATATAATTTTTTTAAGGTGACATCTTCATTTATAGATCGATATCTTTATATGTATTGAAATTGAATGACATGTGGTTATCGGTAAGTGGTTGGTGATCCCATTCACTCTCTCCCACGGTGTTAACACGCTACACGTAGCCGACCACAAGAAGAATCTATTTACAATCCCGCAGAGAATGTCGAGGAGGTGTGAACCCTGCGTTGGTCTTCAAGCCCGATTCTGACTTCTTTCATGCATGCTTTAGATAATAAGACCGATGAATGGATGAAACAATTTAAAAACCAGAGGAGGGCCCTTACTTGCACATGCCGGACGCCGGGAGGTCTCTCAGGAGATGCCTCAGCAGGAGCCCGAAGAAACGGCAACCCACGCGTGTTGGACATATAAAAGAACTCGCGAACGCGCTTTTTCGATTTAATTTCTTTTTCATCAAGCATCTGGAATTTAGAGATTTTCACTCCCGAATAAAAAATAAAATGCAAATTTTTCCGGTAAGAAAATTGACAATAATTCAAAATTATGCAACATATGCAGAATCTAACATATAATTTTTTTAACGAACTATTTTTCATTTTTCCAGTTGGAGGAAAACTACATTTCCCATTGCGAAGAATTGTAAATATTGTAAATATCTTTTATTCCGCGCAATGGATCTATTAAAATAAAACAAAAATCAAAATTTTTATTTAAACCTTTTAAAATTATGTGGAATTATTAATTTTTTAATAACGTCATGGGTTACTTCACGTGACTAATAATTAAGCTATAACTAAGCTAAGTATTACACATGTTTAACTGAAAAACGTTGAGCGTACGTATCTGCATGACTGATATGATTTTTTTTTCTTCCATTGAAGACACGTTCTTGTAACGAGAAAAAAGATTGGCTATCCATTTCTCGCTTCACAAACAATCAAATCCGACTTATGTAGGTCAAAGGCAACAACCACCGCTACATCGCCGTCTATTTATACAGGATGCTGGGCTTTTTATCAGTCGCGGGGTGGTTCCCTCTGTCCTAAACATCACATCCGCCGAAATGTGCTTCCTACGCGGTGTATTACCGTTGACCGGGAGGAGGAGGACCTCGCGATGGACCGGGAGGCAGCGGCGGTGAGAGGGAAAAGCCACAACAGGAACCACCGCCTCGCTTTCTTCAACAGCTTCAAACATCCGCTGCACCAGCCGCTGCCAGATCTCTCAGTTCTTACCCCCTGCCGCCTCAGCTCGCGCTCAAAGGGACGCGCGGTCGTTCGTTTCCCCTTTCCACATTGGAAACGAAAGGATGCATAAGATGCGTTTTTACTCGTCGTCCTCTTTCTATGTGAGAAGTCTTTCCAAAATCACCGCTCTGTTTCCGTTTCTTCCCGCTCTGACATCGTGTTCCGTTCTGTGCGAGAGCTGCATCAGTCAGGAACTCCATTAACTCTTGCAACTGCCTACTAAGAACAAAAAATATTTTTTCCACATCAAAAATAAAAAATATGTATATATATAATATACATATTAAATTTTCAAACAAACATATATGTATATTATATATATTTATGTTTGAAAATCTGACAATTAAGGAGATACTTAAAATTTTTGCAGCAGTTCTAATAATTCGATTTCTTTTACTCAATCATATATATATGCAATGATAAATTTTTCATGATCAATCATGGTCTCACATTTCGTGGAAAGAGGGGTCACGAGATTCTGGACCAGAGGACAATTAAACATATCGACCTTCTCCAAGAGAAGAGGGATGACCGGCAAATGTTGCACGATTGTACCGGACTCACGTGCGCGTGCGAGACGGTAGCAACGGCAGCGGGGCAGCTCGTCGAATCACCAGCTGCCGATTCGCCGAGTCGACTCCTGGAAGCACGAGTCGATCTAAAATTAGCGGTCCCGCGAGTGGCACCCCCGCCTAGCCCTTACATGGCCACGTCATGGGCATACACTAAGCTTCGAAAGAGAGAAAGAAAGAAAGAGAGAGAGAGACAGAGAGAGAGAGTGAAAAAAGGGAAACAATAATAATCACAGCTTGCCCGGCACGAGTTGATCACGCGCGAGATCTAGCAGCTGGAACTCGTCGACACGATTGGTCTTTGCTCCAGAAACAATCAACGAAAACTAAGCGTTTTACGTTAACAAAATTGAAAAGGAAATATTTATTCATATCGTGAAGAAATTGTGAAGAAAATAAAGCGTCTATTATTTCTTCAAGAAGTATTCTTTTTTCTGCTTTAATTTAATTCATAAACGAGGAAGATCGTGGTTTCATCACACCTGTTTTCAATTTTTATCCATTTTTAATAACTAAATATAATGATTTAATTTTGATTTTTTCATTATTTTGTGAATGTGTAAAATATATTAAGTTAAATTCAAATATCTTTATATCTCGATATTGATATAAAATATGGATCATACGCGGTACAACTTGACTAAAGAACTCTCTTTTTTATCATGATACACAGGAAGTATCGCACGGGTTAGCAATGAAACACATGGCTCCCGGATGAATGAACGGCGTAATGAACGAAGTCGTCCCATAAGAAAGATAGCAATGGTACTTTAACTTCTGGAAAAAAACATCTCATTGAAGTCTCACCGAACAGCATCATGTATATGAAAAATTATAATCACTTTAATATTCATTCTCATCAGTTCCTTGATTAAAGAATTGATTAATAAAAATATCAAGCAATAAATATTTATAATATATATTTCAATCATTTTAAAATATTTTTATTATATTCTTATATCTTACATTGACGAGAGAATAAATTAAATGTAATTAATTGTTAAAATATAGTCTTTTCACATGTAGGGAGTTTATTCATAAAATATTCACGATCAATATCTATAAAAACTTTTTTTCTCGTTTTCTTTTCATTTTTTTCACGATCTTTATTCACGATCTTGATATAAGTAAAATGTATTTTTCCTCTCTAAAAAAGGCATATTATATCGATACTCGAAAGTCTCGAAATGTATTGTTTCTTTCCCATGATGTTGACTAGTTGTTGCGCTTGTGCGGTGCAACTTCTTTTACTCGTGTTATTTACAGCTGTCAAATCATGCAAATTTTGACAGTTTATGAAAAAAATAGAGTTAAAGCAAATTGAAGAAAAAGTTAAAGAAAGAAAAGTGAAAAATATTATTTTCACCGTGCTTATTTTGTGAACAGCTGTTATCGCGGAGATCGCGTAAAGCTTGACAATTTAATAATGGTAAAAAAATTTAATAAATTTGTTTATAATTACCTTCCTTTTTGCTACGTTAATAAAATATTTTCATTTCTGTTAGAATATATGCAAGATTCCTCTTTAAACAAATTTTACAAAATATGTAACTTTAAATATTTATAGCATTTAATATTTAAAAATAAACTAGAATGCTTTGTATTATATTTTATTTTCAGTGATGGGTCGTTGTAATAAAGACCATCACGTGACGGTGGAGGTAGCGACAGTGGCAGCGGTGGCACTGATAGTGGTGGTGATAGTGTTAATGGTGATGGTGATGATGACGACGATGGCAATCAAATATTTAAAATTTAATTAAAGTTTAATATTTAAAGAATATTTGTCATTATGTTGCAATAATTCTCTCCTCCTTTTTCTGTATATGTATATGTAAATATACATAAATAAGTAAATACATAAATAAATAAATGATATATATAAATATAAATATATATATATATATTTTTTTTTTGCATTATATTGCATAATAAAAGAATTAATGTGTACCTTCTAATCTTCTAAAGGATAAAAATTGCGTAATTAACGCAATGCGAACAAAAGATTTCACTTTAATCATTTGAGCTCTCACATGTGCGGTTCGATTAATCGTGGATCTCTCCTAGTTCATTGTCCTCCTAAAGTATGCATATCTCAGTAGACCGCGTAACCCCGAAACGGGAGATCCTTTGCGGACTACTCCTCGTAGGAGGAACGAACCCCGTTCCGTAGTACATCTGCGTTGAGCGGATGCAGGCTGCATTTTATGACCGTCCAATGCACAACCGATTCTTAATCGTGCACCCGTACTCACACCCTCCATCGTCTCCGCTGAGCACGCGGCACAACGACTTCTATAATTAGATTTCCTTCCTTCTTTTGGGTTTAGCCACCTTCGCGGTTGCGAGTGATCTCTTTTGGACCTGCAAAATAAAGAAATTTAATTAGACATTAAATTAATTATTGTAATAATCTTGATATTACATTAATATTGACATATATATATGGTTATTTAAGTAAATTGAAACAT